CCTACTGACACTGCACTTTCTGGGGGAGAAGGGGGGGGTAAGCGTAGGGGCTAAAAACTGGCAGGTGCTGATCCCTCTAACGCTGCGTTTTTGGGGACGCTACATACTAATGTGAACGCTGGTATAGTGCTGATCAAAGATATTGATCCGTTCAGACACTATAGTAGCAATGGAGGTTTATTGTGCATGAGCGTCTTCCTGGCAGTCAAGGGGTTAAATGTGATGACTTGTGTACTGAAAGGCAATCTGAAGCTGCAGTGTGTGTGTGTGTGTGTGTGTGTGTGTGTGTGTGTGTGTGTGTGTGTGTGTGTGTGTGTGTGTGTGTGTGTGTGTGTGTGTGTGTGTGTGTGTGTGTGTGTGTGTGTGTGTGTGTGTGTGTGTGTGTGTGTGTGTGTGTGTGTGTGTGTGTGTGTGTCCCTGTAGTAGTATTTTAGTATTTCTGCTATAGGGCGGTAGGGCGGTCAGAAGCGGTTTGCGTCACGTTCCTGCGTTACTTTAACTGACAAATGCGCAGTCATGCAACACTGCACCCAAATTAAATTTACGTTTTTTTTCCCCATGAATTTAGCTTTCTTTTGGTGGTATTTGATCGCCTGTGCGTTTATTTTTTGCGCTATAAAAAAAAAAAAAAAATTGAGAAAAAAAAATATTTTGGACTTTTTGCTATACAACATGTCCAGTAAAAAAATTTAAAAATCAAATTTCATCATACATTTCGGCCAAAATGTATTCGGCAACATGTCTTTGCTAAAAAAAAAAAAAAAATCCCAATACGTGTAAATTAATTGGTTTACGTTAAAGTTATAGCGTCTACAAATGGTGGGATACTGGGATTTTTTTTCTTTTATACTAATAATGGCGGCGATCAGGTGATACGTTCATTTGAAAAAGCCAAAACTTTTGCTCGCACACAGGAGTTTAAACATTCACCTTAGATTGGCATTCATACTTTCAGTCCTAAATATGGTTAATTCGGATGCCCACTGTGTTTTGAAGAAATGGCATGGAAAGCTATTGGTATTTTTTTTCTTATTAGCAATCTTTCCTTATGTTTGCCAAATTATGCGATCTACATAAAGGAGTCTGCGCATACTCATACTAGACAAACTGTATGTGAGGAAAGAGAATTGATGAATAATTTAATCTGGAAACCTCTCCCCTTAATATTTGTGAATGAGTGTTTCCTATGTAGCATATAAGGCACAGTACAGAATATCTCTCCGTTGTAAGTCCCACAAATATCAAAAATATGCTCCTACTCATTTTTCCAGTCCTTTTCCTCCAGCATGTGTTTTTAATCAATTTATTTCTTGTATATTTATTTGCACAGTAATTCTCTCCCCTGCTGTAATAGGTGCTGGTATTTGGGGAGATTCCTCCGCCTTATTGTGCGGTTTTGCTGCTTGCTTTCAAAAAGCCACTGAACTTTTGCCAGCTCTTTGTTTTCACATTTTACACCAGTCCAGGACTTGGATGTAATTTTCCAGTTGGGCCCGATCTGTTTACCCACTACATTCTAAGCAATTCCTCACTCCAGTCCCTGACGATATGGAGCAATTTAAGAGCTACTACACAGTCATCCCAAGGCTATTTTAACAGGCCCTAGTACCTCCCTTCTTCAACCCCCATGAAGGGGCATGTCAACATAGGAGAGGTGCTTTTACTAAGCAGCTTACAACTTCAGTCCCCTCTTTGTACCAGCTGTTGGGACAACCTTGTAGTTTTCTTTGTTTGAAGTACTGCAGAGACCACCTCAGAGAATCCATTACTGCTTGCATCTCTTTTTGCTGGCTACCCACCCAGCAAATATTGGTGTGACTTGACATTCCACTTGTTGGGTTTTGTTGGTAATATGATCTAATCAAGTACCTTTAACCACTTGACCTCCGGAAGACTTGCCCCAACCAGGCCATTTTTTGCTATGCTGTACCCAAACAAAATGTATATCTTTTCTTTTCACACAAACAGAGCTTTCGTTTGGTGGTATTTAATCACCTCTGGGATTTTTATTTTTTATTATATAAAAGAAAAAAAGAATGACAAATTTTGAAAAAAAATATATATATATATTTTTACTTTCTGCTATAAAACATCTCATAAAAAAAAAAAAAAAAAAAAAAAAAAATCAAATCTCTCAAGAATATTTTGGCCAAAGTGTATTCTGCTACATGTCTGGTGAAAAATAAAATCCCAATAAGTGTATATTGATACGTTTGTGTGAACGTTTCAGCATCTACAAACTGGGATATATACTGGAATTTGTATTTATTTATACATACTAGTAATGGCGGAGATCAGCGACTTATAACAGGACTGCGACACTGTGGCAGTCAATCTGACACTGACTGATGCTGTGGGAAACTGACTGCCACCAACATCACCAATGCCATTATTACAGTGATCAGTGCTAATATGCACTGCCACTGTACTAATGACACTGGGCAGGAAGGGGTTAACATCTACAGCAATCAAGGGGTTAAATATGTACCGAACATGTTTGTGTGTGTACTGTGTGCTGCTTTCACTGTGGATCTAGTGGTTTTCATTGCCCTGCTTAGCAGGGAATGAAAAATCAACTAGATCGCCTGTCACTGAACACAGCTCTGCGCTGTTTACACTGACAGAGCTGTGTTCAGGGGGCGGACTGACCATTTGGAAACTCGGGCACTGCCCGGGGTCAGTAGGGGGCCCCATGAGATGCCCCTGGTACCTTTTTCATAGGCTTTTTTGAGTTTGGGCAAGGACACGGGCCCAATGATCCCCTATTGCCCGGGGGCCCCATCAGTTGTCAGTCTGCCCTGGCTGTGTTCTGAGTCCAAGAACCGATCACTGGGTGATTGGCATGTGCTGTAATGTATCACAGCACAGCCAGGATTGGTGCACACACCCCCTACCAAGAAATGCACAATCACGTTTATATACAGCATTCTGCACAGAGCGGTTGCCCTGTAGCAGTAAAGCTACAATGTGCTGGTCTTAAACTGGTTAATGTAAATACATGTTTTTTTTTTGTTTTGTTTTTTTAATCTGCACTATCCAGTACACTCAGTTTTCGGTTCCAAATTCACACATGTAAAATGTAACAATCCTTGTTAACAGCCCTGTCAATCCACAGTTTATCTTTACAACACTAGAAGCACATCAACACAAAAGTCCAAATATTTCAACAAACTGGATTTCTGTATAAAACACAACTTTAATTTCATTTTAGAACAAAGTTCAGTGTATCAATTTCAAGAAGCAAAACAAACGCAACAGGCTCTTCCACACTGTTCTATTCATATTCCAAACCCTTGAGACAATGCTACTATATATTTCACACATTAATGTAAACCATAAAGAAAATTATATCCTTCCAAAGGAAAAATAAAAAGGTAATTGTATTTAGTCATGATTTAAAGATAAAAGACATCTTAAAATGGGGTTCTGCACCTTGAAAAAAATGACTTATTTGATCTACAAAGGACAACATCAGGATAAATGATAAAGATACCATAGCCTAAAGAAATCTGAGCCAACATAGCTCTAAGACCAGAACAAAACACCAAGGTCATGTGGGCCAAGTAATTTGTTTTTATGTTATGTATTTGTTTTTCATTGCATTGATCAGAAACAAAAGTACCATTTTCCTGTTTAGTCTTATAACTTTGAACAGAGAAAGTGTGCAACTTCATGGCCAACAGAACTCTCCACTAGAACAATTAAATAAGCTTCCACATGAATTCCTGGATGGCCTTTTAGGAATCAAATGCATAGAAAAAAAAATAACTTTTTACACTTTCATAATGCAAAAGTTGTTTCTATACCACTATGACCATCGGTTTATGAAAAAAAAAAAAAAAAAAAAAAACACAATATTTTTTCCTTGTTACATAAGGGGAAAGGGACTATGTCCATCCTACATTCCTGAACCATGAATAAAAGGAGATTTAAACATAAAGGAAAGGGTGTAGACATTTTTTTTTAATTTCCCCAATTCTTGTATTGCCACCAGGAGGCACATTCTGCATTTCCCATCATCCCATATCTTCCAAGTAAGGGCAAATATTTATTTATCCTCCCTATGATGCAACACAACAAAGAAGCAGAATATCAAGTATGATTTCTAAAATTTTTTGAACCATTTTATATATTTCAAAAAATGGCAGAACAAATTCAATGAGGAAACAATATTACAGTCATGTTTTTGAAAAGTTATTTGGAAAAAATTCATTTAGCATAATTGTCAAAATACTTTGTAAATAAATCATGCATTTTTCAAGATGCTAGAAATAAACTAAGATATCATCTGACAAACTGCAACCGGCTAGACAGTTCACATGTGAGGAGAGCTACAGGACTGAACATATAAACAAAACAAGCCAGCTGCTTCACCATGTATTCATGTGCTTTTGTTCACTTTCATTTTCTGTGCCACCACAATGTGTTCTTTGGCACACTAAGTAAATGACTGCCACTTTGGCAAAGCAAATATCTTCTTTAGCCTTTTTTTTCCATAATGAATACACATTTACAAACAGTCACAGTTGGTGAATACCAAAGAAATATGGAAGTATTAAGTTATTAAAAAGACAGGCACAAAAAAAACCAAACTGGAACGTGTACTCAAGGCACAGATCTTCCTACAGCCAGTATTCCTTTTGAGCTCATGAACACAGCATAAAATGAAGGTTGCCACTACCCCATCCAGTGAAGTCAGTGCTGATCTGGTAAGGACAATCTTTCAGCAGACTTGGATAACAGCGAGCCCCGTATAAGTAAAACCAAAGTATATAGGAAAACATCCTGTTAATACGCTATTTAAAAAAGAATTAGCGTTTTCACATCCCTATTAGGTTTCTACAGATTTAGTGCACACAGGTGAGCTTCATTTTTTAAAATTGTTTAGGTTCCAGTTTTTTTTTTTTTTTTTTAATGAAATCCCTCCAAAGGCTTCCAGGATCACATTTGCCATTTAGTAAGCTGGTTTGAAGACCCTTTGACAAGAAGAGTGTTGTCTTTCAAACTGTGGTGTCACCAAATTCTTTATTCCACCGAATGTATGATTCCAGGGTAGAAGAACTAACACTGCACTTTATTTTCTTTAATGAGGTCAGGAAGTCTGAATATTTTATATTACGCATCTGAAAGAAGAGGGAAAGAAAAAAAAAAAAAAAAACACTGATTCCTTTTCACATTTATTTACAAGACAATCACTTGGGGACATATGTACAGTCAGTCTGTTTTCATTTGTGATTTAGGGAAATCCCAGAACTGGGAACAATCAGGGAACATACCCTTCCTGTGTCCCCATGCAAAAATATTTCAAAATAGGTAGTCTGATTGCCTTTTAAAAAGCCTTAGAGTACAAGACACAAGACTAGTTATCATAGACCCTGGGTTATATGCTGCTACCTTCAGGAGATTGGAGTTTGCAACCCCTAGAGCATAACCAAATAATCTCACCCACTCCAAGCTACAGTTTTTTCTTTCAGCAAGCAATAAGGGCCCTTTCACACTGAGGAGTTTTTGAAGCATAAAAAAAAAAAAAAAAAAAAAAAAAAAAAAAAAAAAAAGTGCAAGAAAAGCTCCCTATGCAGGTCTATGTAAGTTGTCACACTGGGGTGCTGCGCTTCTGCTGCGGTGTAAAAGATCCTGCTTGCAGCATTTTTGGAGCATGCTTGTTCAGCTAAGGAAAAAAAATTAATTTTGTGAATTTTACGTTTTTATTGTACCTATGTCAGATCACTAAAAAAAAAAAAAAAAAAAACAAACGCATTTCCCCATTGAAATAAATGGAAAAGGTCTCAAAAACGCAACCCAGATGCGTTTTTGGTGCAGTTTGTGAGTCACATGTCCTTTAAATAATGCAAGCACGGCAAAAAGCAGTAAAAATGCATATGCTTTTTTGCGGCGGATCAGTGTGAAAGTGTCCTAAGGGTTGATCAGGTAACAAAAAGGAAGTGACTTATGTCCTGTACTGTATTCCAAGAAAGGGAATTTCCTATCAGCTTAAATCGTGCAGTACAGGATAGCTATTCATAAACCATGGGATGTACCGAAGCAATAAAACTGAGGGATGGGGAACATAGCAACACAGATTGCCAACAGGTCCACAAACACACAACCATTTAAAGAACCTGAGCAAAATACTCAGATAACAACTTGAAGCACCCTGAGGTCAAAGCTCGCATTAGCTGAGATCTGAACATCCACCTTGTAGAACATGGAAAACAGGGGCAATTCTGATCATTGGAGGACAGGCAGACTCTTCTCCAGCACAACCAGAAATGGACCACACTATGATGGATGTGTTCTGTGCCTAGTGTGGTCAGTTTGGAATAGGAAAAGCAAGGGGACTGGCAGGATCATCAGGTATTTCACACAAAGGAAGCAATGCATAGAGAACAGGATAGTTTTTAAAAAAACAAGTAAAATGGTACAGCAGGCACTATCAGACTCCTCTGCCCCCTTACATTATCTAATCTCACCAACATCGGTGTGATCAGATGCTTTCTCTAGTTTTTAAATTTTCTAAAAAATTAGAATGCATGAAGGTAAAAAACCTTCAGCCTTTACAACCACTTTAATTCAAGTTTTTAAAAAAGGCAGTGGGGAGACCAGGGCTGCAATATAAACCTGATAGATAGGCAAATGTGCCCACTATACAGAACTAGAAAAAAAAATAAAAATTTGGCCAACTTGTTCAACGGCAACACACTCACCTCACTGGCTGACATATTTTTCACTTGCTCTGGTTTCAGTTCTGTAACAGAATAAAAAAACAAAAAAATAAACACACATTTATCTACAGGTCATCACATTCCATACCCAAGAAACCATGTCTCTATAAAATGCACTACATGAAATAAAACCTATTAAAAAGTCAAATATAAAAATAAGTGCTCAGATTTTTTGTCATAGCAAATTTGAAAAGACATCACAACCATAATGAAGATACAAAGTACAATATACCATCAACATTTATTTATACATCAACTATTGTACAGTTTGTGTGAATTTGGTGCCAAGAGAAATCCTAAACATCTAACTCTTGTAACACCAACACCCCAAGCCCCCTAAGTGGGACTCATTCCCATCCCACACAATTTGATAACATTTGTACATCAACATTTCCAGAACATTCAATAACAATCTTACTTTAAATCTAAAAAGAAAAAAAAAAAAAAAAAAAAGAATTACAGCCAAAAACAAAGCTAATATGTACAATATCATGTTAACCTTGTAAAAGCCAAACTGCTTAGGTTCATACCTCTTATAGGTCCAAGTGCAGCATCTTTAGCCAGTGCAGTTATATCACTGCCAGAGTATCCTTCAGTCTGCCTAATAAAAAAAAAAAAAATGACACAATAAATTAAACATATACATACACACACACACACACACACACACACACACACACACACACACACACACACACACACACACACACACACTTGCAAGAAAAAGTATGTGAACCCCTTGGGATTACGTGGAGTTTTGCATGAATTGGGCATAAAATGTCCTCTGAACGTCATCTAAGTCACAGCAATAGAAGAACACAGTCTGCTGAACATAATACTACACAAACGTTAGATGTTGCCATGGTTTAATTGCACATAACATGTAAACATTCACAGTGCAGGGAGGAAAAAGTATGTGAGGCCCCAGCTTAATGACTTCTCCCAGAGCTAATTGGAGCCAGGAGTGAGCCAACCTTGACTCCAATCAATGTGATGATATTGGATGTGTTGCTGACAGCTGTCCTGCCCTTAAAAAACACAAACCTGTTTTGGGTTTACTGGTTTCAAGAAGCACTGTCTGATGTGAACCATGCCTGGCAGAAAAGAGCTCTCAGAAGACCTATGATTAAGAATTGTTGACTTGCATGAAGCTGGAAAGGGTTACAAAAGTATCTTCAAAAGCCTTGATGTTCATGTGTCCACGGTAAGACAGACTGTCTACAAATGGAGAAAGTTTAGCACTGTTGCTACTCTCCCTAGGGGTGGTCGTCCTGTAAAAATTACTGCAAGAGCACAGCGCAGAATGCTGCATGAGGTAAAGAAGAATTCCAGAGTGTCAGCTAAAGACCTACAGAAATTTCTGGCGCATGCTAACATTTTTGTTGATACATCTACAATAAGGAAAACATTAAACAAGAATGGAGTACATGGGAGGACACCACGGAGGAAGCCATTGCTGTCCAAAAAGAATATTGCAGCACGGTTGAAGTTTGCAAAAGAGCACCTGGATGTTCCACAGCACTACTGGCAAAATATACTGTGGACAGATGAAACCAAGATTAAGTTGTTTGGGAAGAACACACAACACTATGTGTGGAGAAAAAAAGGCACAGCACACCAACATCAAAACCTCATCCCCACTGTAAAACATGGCGGAGGGAGCATCATGGTTTGGGGCTGCTTTGCTGCCTCAGGGCCTGGATGGATTGTTGTCATTGATGGGAAAATGAATGCCAGAGTTTATCATGACATTTTGCAGGAAAACGTACGACCATCTGTCCGCCAACTGAAGCTCCGCAGAGGATGGGTGATGCAACAGGACAATGACCCAAAGCATACAAGTATATCAACAAAACAATGGCTGCAACAGCACAGAATACGCCTTCTGGAGTGGCCCAGTCAGAGTCCTGACCTCAACCCAATTGAAATGCTGTGGCATGACCTTAAGAGAGCGATTCACACCACATATCCCAAGAATATTGCTACACTGAAACAGTTTTGTGAAGAGGAGTGGTCCAAAATGACTCCAGATTGTTGTGCAGGTCTGATCTGCAACTACAGGAAACGTTTGGTTGAGGTTATTGCTGCCAAAGGAAGGTCAACCAGTTATTAAGTTCAAAAGTTCACATACTTTTTCCTCCCTGCACTGTGAATGTTTACATGTTATGTGCAATTAAACCATGGCAACATCTAATGTTTGTGTAGTATTATGTTCAGCAGACTGTGTTCTTCTATTGTTGTGACTTAGATGACTTTCAGAGCACATTTTATGCCCAATTCATGCAAAACTCCACGTAATCCCAAGGGGTTCACATACTTTTTCTTGCAACTGTATGTGCATAGATAGATAATCTATAACATTTTTCCTTTCTGACTTTGCAATTTATTGAGTACATTGGCATTTAATCAAAACTCACTGCACCTACCTGGCCAGCTGAGTCAGTTCTTTTTGTGTCAGTGGGTTCCCTTGCTTGCTTAAAAGGTTTTTTAAAAGCAGAAGCCTTGTCTGTTTAGGAAAGAGATAGTTCAGACCATTTTAAAAGATTCATATTTTTGGCACAGACATGCCATACCAAATACAATGCATGTGTAATTTCTTCCTTTGAGCTTGTATACACAATATTTAAAATGGAGCTCTCTCTACACATTCCTATTGCATGTCAACTGCTCCTGGTACATACAAAATGTATTGACACAAGTGACTACTCCTCCTGATGAAGCAATAAAAGGATTTATCTTTTTTCACAATTATTGCCTGCACGTAAGTAACTGGCAGAATGGAATTTGCCTTTAAAAACAGAAAATGCTCTTTTTAAGAAAAACGAATGCTTCCTCCTGCCTGTCAGCCATCATGTACAGCTCAGGGAACAATGATGAGTCTGATCTGTGCCGCTGCAATGTGACTCCCATGTGCATGAGCGACATCACAGTAGCCTCAAGTAACCAAAGGCACGAAACCTGGAAAGAAGAACGGGCTAAAATGGAAGCACCTGGGGGACCCGCTGATCGATCACTGCACAACGCTGGAGGGCTCGTGTTGACATGCAAGTCTGTCATAATGTGCAAATATGCTGTGCATACTAGCACATTATGGCATAACCCACCTTGGGGGCCCCTACAAAAAAGAAGACATTAAAGCAGACTTTACTACTGCTTTAACACAACATTCTGTGCTTTAAAATAGGTTGTGGAGCTGGAAGCATTGCGATACAATGGTGCCGCTTTCAAAAGCATACATTGTATATTACTGTTCTCTATCATGTAGCAACTAAAAGTTTTACAAAACCTCTTCATATGTTCAGTTTGCCTTTATTAAAATCAGTATGGTTTTTGGAATGCCTAAAGAAGCCAAAATAAATTTCTGTGTAAGATGTTACACAATACAATTTCAAGTACAATGATAAAAGCCACACTTCTTGAATGGCCTTTGATACTGTTGAAATATGTTTATTATGCTTTTACTGTTATAAGCACTGTTTTTTCTTATTGCGGACAAAATTAAAAAAAAAAAAAAGAAAGAAATTACTGAATATATTACTGCCCAGCTGACATAATGGGAGGATATACAGTATCTCACAGGAGTGAGTACACCCCTCACATTTTTGTAAATATTTTATTCTATCTTTTCATGTGACAACACTGAAGAAATGACACTTTGCTACAATGTAAAATAGTGAGTGTACAGCTTGTATAACATGTAAATTTGCTGTCCCCTCAAAATAACTCAACACACAGCCATTACTGTCTAAACCACTGGCAACAAATGTGAGTACACCCCTAAGTGAATATGTCCAAATTGGGCCCAAAGTGTCAATATTTTGTGTGGCCACCATTATTTTCCAGCATTGCATTAACCCTCTTGGGCATGGAGTTCACCAGAGCTTCACAGGTTGCCATTGGAGTCCTCTTCCACTCCTCCATAATGACATCACGGAGCTGGTGGATGTTAGAGACCTTGCGCTCCTCCACCTTCCATTTGAGGATGCCCCACAGATGCTCAATAGGGTTTAGGTCTGGAGACACGCTTGGCCAATCCATCACCTTTACCCTCGGCTTCTTTAGCAAGGCAGTGGTCATCTTGGAGTTGTGTTTTAGGTCGTTATGTTGGAATACTGCCCTGCGGCCCAGTCTCCGAAGGGAGGGGATCATGCTCTGCTTCAGTATGTCACAGTACATGTTGGCATTCATGGTTCCCTCAATGAACTGTAGCTCCCCAGTGCCGGCAGCACTCATGCAGCCCAGACCATGACACTTCCACCACCATGCTTGACTGTAGGCAAGACACTTGTCTTTGTACTCAACTGGTTGCCGCCACACATGCTTGACACCATCTGAACCAAATACGTTTATCTTGGTGTCATCAGACCACAGGACATGGTTCTAGTAATCCATGTCCTTAGTCTGCTTGTCTTCAGCAAACTGTTTACGGGCTTTCTTGTGCATCATCTTTAGAAGAGGCTTCCTTCTGGGATGACAGCCATGCAGAGCAATTTGATGCAGTGTGTGGCATATGGTCTGAGCACTGACAGGCTGACCCCCAATCCCTTCAACCTCTGCAGCAATGCTGGCAGCACTCATACATCTATTTCCCAAAGACAACCTCTGGATAGGATGCTGAGCACGTGCACTCGACTTCTTTGGTCGACCATGGCGAGGCCTGTTCTGAGTGGAATCTGTTCTGTTAAACTGCAGTATGGTCTTGGCCACCGTGCTGCAGCTCCGTTTCAGGGTCTTGGCAATCTTCTTATAGCCTAGGCCATCTTTATGTAGAGCAACAATTCTTTTTTTCAGATCCTCAGAGAGCTCTTTGCCATGAGGTGCCATGTTGAACTTCCAGGGACCAGTATGAGAGAATGAGAGCAAGAACACCAAATTTAACACACTTGCTCTCCATTCACACCTGAGACCCTGTATCGCTAAGGAGCCACATGACACCGGGGAGGGAAAATGACTAATCGGGCCCAATGTGGACATTTTCACTTAGGGGTGTACTCACGTTTGTTGCCAGCGGTTTAGACATTAATGGCTGTGTGTTGAGTTATTTTGAGGGGACAGCAAATTTACACTGTTATACAGGCTGTACACTCAATACTTTACATTGTAGCAAAGTGTCATTTCTTCAGTGTTGTCACATGAAAAGATAGAATAAAATATTTACACAAATGTGAGGGGTGGACTCACTTCTGTGAGACACTATTTAAATTTTTACACAAAGAATCCTAGGTGTTAGGAGGGTGTAGGGTGCACTGAAGAGGTTTAACAGATATGTAGGTCTACCAGATAAGTGTGTAAATACATTCAGCCAATATACTTTTATACACTGGACTCACAGCCCATCAGTTACTTCCTAATCGTATGATGTCAACCTCTTCTTTTTAACACATTAAAAAATTAAAAAAAAAAAAAAAAAAAAAAAAAACACACACACTAAAAAACATACCTCTTCATTTGGCAATGAGACATAAACCCTTTTTGTGAATCGTCTGTGGAAAAAACAATTTAGCGTTAGGAAACGGAAGATAAGACAGCAGTACATTAGGGTGAGCTCTTTCATCTTTTGCAAACAACAGTCTTTCAGCAGACATGGTGTTTAAAACATCTTTATTGTTCATTCAAGGTAAGCCATTGGCCCATTAACTTGACCTCCGAAGATTTACCCACCTTCATGATCAGGCCATTTTTTGATATACGGCACTGCGTAACTTTAACTGACAATTGCGCGGTCATGCAACGCTGTACATAAATGAAATGTAATTTCCCCCCCCCCCCACAAATAGAGTTCTCTTTTGGTGGTAACTGACCACCTCTGGGGATTTCTTTTTTTTTTTTTGGCGCTATAAATGAAAAAACACCAACTTTTTTTTTTTTTTAAAAAAACAATATTTTTTACTTTGCTAGAAAACATATCCAATTATAAATAATAAAAAAAAAAAAAATCAAATTTCTTCATACACTTAGGCCAAAATTAGATTAGCATGTAAAATGTAATACTTTATGTGGGAAAGTGACTTTCACTTTCTTCCAGTCCATAGGAAGAATGTAATTCCATCAAACACAGCAAGCATTTATCGAGGCAACCTACCGATAATCTATGAACCACATGTTCTTTTCTGTATTTATAATAGAAATAATGGTAATTGGGAAACTACCAAATATATGTATAAAACAACTTTGACAAATGTTTGGATTAGGTTTCCCTATATGGCCACATTAAAGTGTTTGTAGAACATACACATATCAGGTATATGAAATGTGTAACAATGTATTTGTTTGAAAAAGTATCATGTTCACTTTGCATTGTTTCCTTTGTGTGAAATCCCTGGTGATCCTCTGCTTTCCTATTTAAAACAGACCACGCCAGCCATGACAGAACATCCATCTCAGCATGGTCATTTTTCTGGCAGCACTAGGAAAATAGCCCTCCTGTCCTCCAATGATCAGACTTCTGCTGACACCACCCACCCTGCACAGCCAATCACTGGTAAGTGTACTACTGTTACTCCCCCCCACCTCGGCAAGCCCGATATGCAGCTGAGGACAGGGAAGAAGGAAGGAGAAGAAGAAAAAAAAGAAATGAAAAAAACTATATTATTTTATTATATACACATTTTGCCACTGATTTCTATTTTACGCTGAATGGGTTGTTCCAACAGGTACGGGTTCACATATACTGTATGTTAAAGTAAAAAAAAATGAAAATGTTCACTTGGTACCTGAGAACTGCTTCATCCAGCTCTTGAGGTCTATTAGTAGCCCCCATGACGAGGACTCGATCATCCCCTCCAGACTGTACCTAAATTAGGTTAACAAAAAGGGATACCAATGAAGAGCTGTATAATGATTTATCGAGGCAGCAGTAGCACCTACCGTGTTTTCCCCGAAAATAAGACACTGTCCTATTTTTTTTTTGGCTAAAAAACAAAAAAAAAAAACAAAAAACGCACTAGGTCTTATTGTCGGGGTAGGTCTTATTTTTTGTAATGTACAGGTGTGTACAGGGGGTGCAGAGATGAGCTGCAGTTAGTTTTGGATGACGGTTGCTATAGAGGGCTGGTTAATGACAGTTGTGAGCTGCAGTCAGGTGTTGCAGAGGTGAATTGACAGGTGAGTTTCAGACAGGGTGCAGAGAGGAGTTGTGGACAGGGGATGTAGAGGTGAGTTGTGGCCAGGGGGTGCAGAGATGAGCTGTGGCTGGGAAGTGCAAAGGTGGGTTGCAACTCAGCTCACCTCTGCACCCCCCCAGCCGCAGTTCACCTATATACGCTGTCTTAAAGTCACCTGTCAATTTACCTCTGCAACACCTGACTGCAGCTCACCTCTGCACATCCCCCCCTCCACTACCCTCATATGGTTAGCTATCTTTGCAAAACACAACCGTAAGCAGCCGGCCCTTCTTTGTAGTAGCTCCCGTTTCGGGTCCTATCTTCCCACACTGTGCACCAAGCACACTCATTCACTGCTCCGCCTCTTCCCCACTGGCCGGCGATCACCCCTGGGACATCGGCTTCCATGCATTAGGCTGCAGGACAAGATGCCCCGCACCTAAACACACTGCGCCCGCCGATATCTATTCCTTCCCTGTCCCACAGAGGCAGGGAGATTCTGTGGGAGCGGATGGTGCTGTCACTTACAAGAGGAACTGTCACTTATAAACACAGAAGTTCGGCTTCTGTGTTTGCAAGAGACAGTAGACATTTGTGTGCACAGGGCCAGTGCTGGAGGTGGCGGAACAGAATAAAAAAGCCCTGATCACAACTAGGTTTTATTTTTGGGGTAGGTCTTATACTTTAGTAATTCACAAAAATAGTACTAGGTCTTATTTTTGGGGTAGGTCTTATTTTTGGGGAAACAGGGTATAGGCTTAGATTTCTGTATGAGACTACTACATGTACTCTTTCTGTACGAGACTAATGGACATGTGAGCATCAGAAATGGAGCAAGGGAAAGTGTCTGGGTCTGATGAATCATGTTTTGTTTTACATCATGTGGATGGTCAGGTGCATGTGTTTTGCTTGCCTAAGAAAGAGATGGCACCAGAATGCAGAGCGGGAAGAAGGCAAGCCGGCAGAAACCGTGTGATGCTTTGGGCAGTGCTCCGCAGGGTAACCTTGGGTTCTACCATTCATGTGGATGTTACTTGACACGTATCACCTACCTAAACATAGTTGCTCACAAGTACACCCATTTGTGGAACAATATTCCCGGATGGTAGTGGCCTCTTTCAGCAACATAATGCGCTGTGCCACACTGCAAAAGTGGTTCAAGAATGGTTTGAGGAACACAAGTTTGAGGTGTTGACTTGGCCTCCAAATTCTCCAGATCTCAATCCAAATTGAGCATTTGTGGAATGTGCTGCAAAAAAAAAGTGTGATCCATGGAGGCCACAACTTGTAACTTACAGGAAGTAAAAGATCTACTACTGAAAACTTGATGCCAGACACCACAGCAGTGGTCTAGTAGTGTCCATGCCTCGCACATTCAGGGCCGATTTGGTGGCAAAAGGGGGACCTATTCAATATTCGGTGGGTGGTCATAGGAGGTATGGCTGATCAGTGTATCTATGCATACTCACACATTATAGCAAGAGCTATTGACTTTCCCTGCACTATAGCTCTACTAGAACTTGTCCCAACAATTTAGAACATTAGCCTTCTTTAAGGAGAACAAATAGGCTTTGAAAAATACTAATTAATCCCATATTAATGGGGTATAAGGAAACACTTACTCCATCAAACTCAATCAAAAATTCTGTTTTCAATCGCCTGCTAGCATCATGTTCTCCTTCTCTTCTTTCACATAAAAGGCTATCAACCTCATCTGCACGGGGAAACAGGATTCAAGTAGTAGAATTATAACAGGATTTACTAGATGTTAAGTTTGAGTTTAAAAAAAACAAAAAAAAAAAACCAAAAAAAAAAAAAAACAAAAAAAGGAAAATCACTTTTGTAAACTGAAAGCACATCCTCCAGTACACTGTACCAAGACGAGGCCAAAGAAACAACTTTCAGTAAAGTTCCACCAGAGCCTATAAACATTCCCAGGAAATTATGCTCAGGTACCAATTGCCATAAAGTGAGGGAAGGGACATAACTTACACTAGCCACGCCCTGAAGGTTAGAGAATTTCAGGAAGTACTGGCATAATAGTAAGAGAAACATTACTGACAACTATACTATAAATTCCATAATTTTATCCTGATTTTTCTTATCAGTATATAACCAATACAATATAGAACTTGCTTTTGTACATCATATATTCCTGTAGTTTTTCCCACCACAGTGTTTATATTTTGGGGTACATTTCTGAGGGTTTGTAAATTTATATAATCAACAATGTCTGCTCATTAAAATTAGATCACTTTAGTGAGCCTTTTATGTAAACACAGCAGCATAGTAAAGCTAAAGCATGGTCCACATTTTACACTGTATACATATTTTTTTATTATTTATATTTTTAACATTTATTTAATATACTTTTTCCCCCTTTTCTTTTTTTAGAAAGCAAATCCAGGTATGGATATTTTATACATAGTTACACTGTTCTGGCTTGGACCAATGGAACTATATATGCAGCATACCTAACTGATGCCCCTGAAAACTGGAAATCAGTGAAGCAGACACTACTCATTCCAGTGATCACCACTTCTTGGTCCTGTGCCAAGCATCTACCCTGCTGCATTGTAAACACAGGTGTCTGGCAGCTCAGCACCAGTGCCAATCAGAGAATGCTTTACATTTTCCGAATGAATGCAAAACATTCTATAATTGGACTATCAGGGGTAGGCAACCTGCGGCTCTCTAGCTGTTGTGGAACTACATTTCCCATGAGGCATTGCAAGAATTACAAAACTGACAGTTACAGCTATGACTTGCAGAAGCATGATGGAACTTGTAGTCCTGCGGCTCTCAGGTTGCCTACCCCCTGGACTAGGTGGACGAGGAGGAGGAGGGGCAGGGAGGTGAAGTGACAATCCATCTTGCTCAACCACAAAATTTCTTCCCTGCTGGATGACTAGAACTCAATGCAATGCAGCTTATTGGATCTGCATTCTTTTTCTTAAAAAGTTTAAAAAAATGCTTCTGTGAAAGCATCAGAAGCCCAGGAGCGGATAGTTTTAGATTCTAAACGCACTGTGGTTCCTGTGCTTACCCCCACTGGGACCCGGCAATACCCACTATTTTAAAATCGCCCTGGGACTAAAAGCGGTTATCTCAGTGCCTTTTAAAACAGTCAGGCAGACTCAAGAAAAAAAAAAAAAAAAAAAAAAAAACACTAATAATGTTTCAATTAAAGTGCTCTACAAAATCAAGTGTTTTTTGGAAGAGTTTACGTCTAATTTAAAGCTTTACCATTCCGCTGGAATGTACATTTATTTTTTGTAGGTGCACATTCTGTATTTTTCGCAAATGTTGACTTTAAAGAGGTTTTTTGTAACTTATATTTATTAGGATGTCTGAAATACCTTAGTGTATTACTAAGTTTTTCATATTTGACGCTTTTGGTTCAATAGTTTGATTACATATACTATGCAGCTGTGTAGCGTATCAGGGAATGTGGTCTGTCTCGCTAATAAATGAGATAAGAACAGCAGACACGAAAAAAAAAAAAAATTAAAAAATTTATCAAATCAATAACAGATTTTTTTCTCTGAAAGAAAAATATGTGGGAAAGGAATAAATTATGTGTGTAAGCTGCAAAGAATACGTACACAAAGAGCCAACATTATTTACTTTAATTTGTGGCTTTGCTAAAAAAATTCCCTTTCTGGGGTGAAAACAGATGCTGAAATTATTAAAAAGCAGTTGATGCGAAATTGAAAATTGGAACTACTTACCAATAAAAATAATAGATGGCTGGAGTTCCCTTGCCACCGAAAAAAGTGCCCGCACTAATTTTTCCCCTTCTCCTACCTGGAAACAAAAAATATATATTTATAAAAATACTACAGATAACAAGGCCAACTAGCTAGGCACTAATACAGTATTAATTTAAAGAAAAACACACTAAAAAGCAGGTTGTATCCTTCGTTATCTATTTGACTCTGTGAAAAACAAAAATAAACAAGCAACTGCAATATTTACATGCATTTTTTTTTTTTTGTTTAAAATGTACCAATTTTTAAAATCTGGATGTGTATTAATTGTAATAAAAAAAAAAAAAGTAGGTCATACAGGTTATCAATTTTTTTGTTTTATTACTACATGAATATTACACTTACTACACACACTCCCAAGCAGGCATTCAAATACATAATGTATATAGAACAAAGTCTTAAGTCTTTCCTGGTGTTAGTTAGTCTTAATGAAAAAAAAAAAAAAAAAAAAAAAAAGACAGAGTCCATCCAATTCAACCATAAACAAAAAAAGAAAAACAAAAAACCAAAAAAAAAAAAAAGTTATAATCCTACACACACAGTTGATCCAGAGGAAGGAAACTCCCCCCCCCCCCCCCCCCAGCAAAGCATGACCCAATTTGCTCCTGCGAAGGGGAAAAAATTCCTTCCTCATCCCCCGTGAGGCAATCGGGTTATTCCCTAGATCACCTTCACTTGAAAAATGTTAGTATCCAGTTATATCCTGTGTATCTAAGAAAGAATCCAGGCCTTTTTTAAACCAATCCACTGAGCTGGCCAGAACCAACTCTTGAGGAAGCCTATCCCACATTTTCACAGCTCTCACTGTGAAGAAACCTTTACGTGTTTGGAGATTAAATTTCTTTTCCTCCAGAAGTAAAGAGCGTCCCCTTGTCCTCTGATGACCTCAGGGGTGAATATCTCTACACCGAGTTCACTATATGAACCACTGATGTATTTATACATGTTGATCATATCCCCACTTAATCTCCTCTTCTCATGAGAGAATAAATTCAGTTCCTCTAATCTTTCCTCATAGCTGAGCTCCTCCATGCCTCTTATCAGTTTGGTTGACCTGCTCGGCACTTTCTCCAGTTCCCCAATGTTCTCTCTTTGTGAATTGGTGCCCAAAAACTGAACTGCATATTTCAGATGAGGTTTTACTAATGATCTCTCTCACTCTCTGGGGTCTATACCTCGTAATACAAGAGAGGATTTTGCTTGCTTTAGAAACAGCAGCTTGGCATTGCATGCCATTATTAAGCTTGTGATCTACCAGACCTCCCAGATCCTTCTCCACCATTGATTCCCCCAGTTGTACTCCCCCCTAGTATGTATGATGCATGCATATTCTTAGCCCTCAAGTGTATAACCTTACATTTATCTACATTAAACCTCATTTGCCACATACAGTGGTCAAAAAAGTATTTTAGTCAGCCACCAATTGTGCAAGTTCTCCCACTTAAAAAGATGAGAGAGGCCTGTAATTGGCATCATAGGTAGACCTCAACTATGAGAGACAAAACGAGAAAAAAAATCCAGACAATCACATTGGCTGATTTGGAAAGAATTTATTTGCAAATTATGGTGGAAAATAAGTATTTGGTCAATATCAAAAATCTCAATACTTTGTTATATATCCTTTGTTGGCAATGACAGAGGTCAAACGTTTCCTGTAAGTCTTCACAAGGTTGGCACACACTGTTGCTGGTATGTTGGCCCATTCCTCCATGCAGATCTCCTCTAGAGCAGTGATGTTTTGGGGGCTGTCGCTGGGCAACACGGACTTTCAACTCCCTCCAAAGGTTTTCTATGGGGTTGAGATCTGGAGACTGGCTAGGCCACTCCAGGACCTTGAAATGCTTCTTACGAAGCCACTCCTTCGTTGCCCGGGCGGTATGTCCCAGCCACATTTCATCTTCAATGCCCTTGCTGATGGGAGGTTTGCACTCAAAATCTCACGATACATGGCCCCATTCATTCTGTCCTGTACATGGATCAGTCGTCCTGGTCCCTTTGCGGAGAAACAGCCCCAAAGCATGATGTTGCCACCCCCATGCTTCACAGTAGGTATGGTGTTCTTTGGTTGCATTCTCTCTCCGCCAAACACGACGAGTTGTGTTTCTACCAAACAGTTCTATTTTGGTTTCATCTGCCCATATATGTCATTCTCCCAGTCCTCTTCTGGATCATCCAAATGCGCTCTAGCAAACTTTAGACGGCCCGGACATGAAATGGCTTAAGTACGGGGACACGTCTGGCACTGCAGGATCTGAGTCCCTGGCGGCGTAGTGTGTTACTGATGGTAGCTTTTGTTACGTTGGTCCCCAGCTCTCTGCAGGTCATTCACTAGGTCCCCCGTGTGGTCCTGGGATTTTTGCTCACCGTTCTTGTGATCATTTTGACCCCACGAGGTGAGATGTTGCGTGGAGCCCCAGATCGAGGGAAATTATCAGTGGTCTTGTATGTCTTCCATTTTCTAATTATTGCTCCCACAGTTGATTTGTTCACACCAAGCTGCTTGCCTATTGCAGATTCAGTCTTCCCAGCCTGGTGCAGGTCTACAATTTTGTTTCTGGTGTCCTTCGACAGCTCTTTGGTCTTCACTATAGTGGAGTTTGGAGTGTGACTGTTTGAGGTTTGTGCACAGGTGTCTTTTATACTGATAACAAGTTCAAAACAGGTGCCATTGATACAGGTAATGAGTGCAGGACAGAGGAGCCTCTTAAAGAAGAAGGTACAGGTCTGTGAGAGCCAGAAATCTTGCTTGTTTGTAGGTGACCAAATACTTATTTTCCAGCATAATTTGCAAATAAATTCTTTCCAAATCAGCCAATGTGATTGTCTGGATTTGTTTTCTCATTTTGTCTCTCATAGTTGAGGTCTACCTATGATGCCAATTACAGGCCTCTCTCATCTTTTTAAGTGGAAGAACTTGCACAATTGGTGGCTGACTAAATTCTTTTTTGCCCCACTGTAGTTGCCCAATTAAACAGTGCATTGAGGTCGGCTTGTAAGTTGGAGACATCCTGTAAGGACGTTATGGCGCAAAACCAGGTCCCCTCATGCATTCTCCCTCTACAAATCTGCCTTCCTCACCTACACCTCCTCCCTCCACGCCGCCAAGCAGGCCTACTTCGTTGACCTGATCAACACCCTCTCAAACTGCCCTCGCCGACTCTTCTCCACCTTCAACTCCCTGCTCTCTCCCCCCCCCTCCTCCACTCAGTACCTCACTTACCGCCCACGAGATTGCCACTCATCTCCATAGCAAGATTGACGCAATCCGCAAGGACATAGTCAACTTGCAGTCTACCTCCCCATCTAGCCTCCCCCCTTCCATCACCCTCTCATCTCTCCCCTCCTCTGACCTTGCAACGGCACTGCCCCCCACCACACCCAAGGCCCTGCCTACCGTAACCCCCCCATCACTGCACTCCTTCAGCCCTACTACCACTGAGGAAGTCACCAGAGTCTTCTCAGAAGCCCGCCTCACTACCTGCCCCCTGGACCCTATCCCCTCTCAACTCCTCCGGTCACCCCCCTCTTCCCTCATCCGCTCCCTTACCCACATCTTCAATCTCTCCCTCGCTACTGGCGTCTTCCCCTCCCCCCTAAAACATGCGCACATCACCCCCATACTCAAAAAAGCCCTCCCTGGACCCCACTGACCTCAACAACCTCAGACCAATTTTCCCTGCTGCCACTCATGTCCAAGCTCCTTGAGCGCTTGGTCTACGATCGCCTAAGCGCCCACCTAACTGACAACAACCTCCTTGACCCACTACAGTCCGGCTTCCGTCCCCTACACTCCACCGAAACTGCCCTCCTCAAAATCACCAACGATCTACTAACCGCCAAAGCCAAAGGCGACTACTCTGTCCTCCTCCTCCTAGACCTCTCTGCGGCTTTTGACACAGTCGACCACCCCCTCCTCCTTAATAAACTACTCTCCCTTGGCATCAGAGACTCCGCTCTCTCTTGGTTCTCGTCCTATCTATCCCAACGCTCCTTCAGCGTTTCCTACAACGGCGCCACCTCCTCTTCCCTCCCCCTCTCTGTTGGGGTCCCCCAGGGCTCTGTCCTTGGACCCCTTCTCTTCTCCATCTACACCTCCTCCCTTGGCAAACTCATACACTCCCACGGCTTCAACTACCACCTCTATGCTGATGATACTCAAATCTACCTATCCACCCCTCACCTCACCCCCACATTCTCCGCCCGCATCACTCACCTCCTAAACGACATCTCTGACTGGATGTCGCTCCATTTCCTCAAACTCAACCTCTCCAAAACCGAGCTTCTCGTCTTTCCCCCTTCCCGTGCCCCCCCCCCCCCCCCCCATCCTTTCCATCACTACCAACAACACCACCATCAATCCCGCCCAGCAAGCCAAGGTCCTTGGCGTCATTCTGGACTCAAACCTTTCCTTCCAACCTCATGTCAAATCACTCACAAATACATGCAGGCTCCACCTTCGCAACATCGCCAAAATACGCTCCTTCCTTACCCCAGACACCACTAAACTACTCGTTCACTCCCTGATTATCTCACGCCTGGACTACTGCAACTCCCTCCTCATCGGCCTACCCCAGTGCAAACTCTCCCCGCTTCAGACCATCCTGAACTCAGCTGCCAGACTCATCCACCTCACCAGCCGCTCCACCTCTGCCACCCCCCTCTGCTCTCTCCCTCCACTGGCTCCCCATTGCCCAACGCATTAAATTCAAACTGCTCACTCTGACCTATAAAGCCATTCACAACACTGCCCCTAACTACCTCACCGACCTGATTCCCAAGTACCACCCTACCCGTACCCTTCGCTCTTCACAGGACCTCCTATCTTGCTCCCTGGTCTCCTCCTCCCACGCACGACTGCAAGACTTCTCCAGGTCCTCCCCCATCCTCTGGAACTCACTACCCCAATCCATCAGACTGTCACCTTCCCTCCTCACCTTCAGGCGCTCCCTGAAAACCCACCTCTTCAGGGAAGCCTACCCCACCCTCACCTAACAGCCGCTGCCCTTCCCTCCTCCTACCACTCCATCCCCCACAGCCATTTCCTCCTGTACCTCTACCCCCTCCCTCCTAGATTGTAAGCTCAAAAGAGTAGGGCCCTCTTACCCCTTGTGTGCTGTTTGATGTTACTGTACTGTTTCATGTATTGTCCCCCCCTATTGTACAGCGCTGAGCAAACCCTTTGGCGCTATATAAACTCGATAAATAAATAATAATAAATAAATTCCACTGCACAGCTTGGTGTCATCTGCAAAGACTGAAATGGGATTTTTAATCCCAGACCCTATATCGTTTCGAAATATATTAAAAAGTAAGGGTCCCAACACTGAACCTTGGGGTACACCACTGACAACACTAAACCATTCAGAGTATGAATCATTAACCACTACTCTCTGAATATGATCTCTCAGCCAGTTTTCTATCCATTTACATGCAGATTTTTCCCAAGGCCGTAGACTTTACCTTACACATCAGCCATTTGTAGGGAACTGTGTCAAATGTTTTGCAAAATCCAAGTATACCACGTCCACCGCCACCCCTCTGTCCAAGGTTTTCCTCACCCAGTCATAAAAAGAAATCAGGTTTGTTTGACAACTTCTGTCTTTCATGAATCCATGCTGTCTGTTGCTTCAAATATTTTGTTTCCACATAGAACACATCTATGTGGTCTTTTATTAAACTCTCCAGTATCTTCCCAACTATAGATGATAAACTAACAGGTCTATAATTACTTGGTAAAGATTTTTACCCCTTTTTAAATATAGGCACCACCTTGGCCTTACGCCAATCCAGTGGTACTGTGCCAGTCATTAAAGAGCCCCTAAAAATGAGAAATAATGGATTTGAAATGACAGAATAAAGGTGAATAAAGCATCTGGACCACGGGTCCTTAAAGAATTGAGCTCTGTCTAAATATTTATGGATCATATCAATTGTGAGCCAATGTGGATCATCTGGAGCTATGTCAATACCATGCCCATAATAGACAAGATGTAGAACTCTTGTTTACTATAACTAAGTGCTTTCTTTCCAATGTTGATATTTTACCTTTTATGTATAGTTGGAGGCATTACTGTATGATATTGTGAGTCAGGGGGTGGAGTGATAGGGAAATTGCATGTTACATATTTCCTTATTAATACTGTGGCTTACTAATATTTAAAGCGGAGTTCCAGTTGCACTGTGAAAAAATAAAAGTCAGCAGCTACAAAAACTGTAGCTGTTGACTTTTTAAAAATCAGCCACTCACCTGTCCCATGATCCCGCGGTGTCCTCCCCCCCCGCAGCCCATTTCACCAGCCGTCTGGTGTTCCATGTGCTGGCATCTTCAGTGTGGGCACACGGCTGTGACAGCTTGATCTGTGCAAGGAGCTGAGTCTCCACCTCCTCATTAACATTGGGAGGCCTATAACAAATGCCAATGATTACCTTTGTAGTACGCACCCCATGTGCAGTTCCACCCATAAAGCTTCAGCCTCATCACACTCTCCATCAACTAGGTCCTCTTTCACACTCACTCTGAGATCACTTCTGACAGAGACAGACACCACCACCTTTCCTATTTACCCTGTCTCTCCAAAAGAGAACATAGCCAGGAATATTACCGGCCCAGTCATGTGAAGAATGAAGTCAAGATTCAGCAATACCAATTAAATCATAGTTCTCTTCATGCACCAAAGCTTCCAATTCACCCATTTCATTCATTGACACCTTGTGCACATGTATTTTGCATATTTTTTTATTTTCATACAAATGGTACCGATTCCACTGGTTGTTTGTAACATGGGAACCCTCTTATCTGCCATAGCCCTCCCCCCGTTCCACCCACCAAGAAGTACCGACCCTGTCTGATATAACTACCCTGTTATAATCCAATACTCCCTCCCACCTCGGTCCTAGTTTAACCACCTCCCGCCCGCCATATAGTCCAATGACAGGCGCAAGGTGGTTCTCTCGTTCTGGGAGGACGTCATATGACATCCTCCCATTCTCACCGCGCATGTGCGGCGATCGGCGGTGCACTGTGTCCCTCAGACACAGTGGATCACCGATCTATGGAAAGAGCTAAAAGATGTCGGCTCGGTCATGTGATCAGCTGTGTCCAATCACAGCTGATCACATGTAAACAGGGAAATGCCGGTTATCGGCATTTCTCTCCTCACAAGCTGTCACACTGACAGCTCGAGAGGAGAGCCGGTAATCGGCATTCCGCGGAGGGGACATGTACACTGATCATCAGGGCACTGATGATCAGTGTGCCCTGATGATCAGTGTGGCCCCAGAAGTGCCACCTGTCAGTGTCCATCAGTGCCAGCTGCCAGTGCTGAACAGTGCCAGTGCCACATCAATGCCACATATCAGTGCCTACCAGTGCACATCAATGCCACATATCAGTGCCCATCTGAGCTGTCTTTCAGTGTCACCCATCAGTGCCAGTCAGTGCCACCTATCAGTGTGCATCAGTGCCGCCTATCAGTGCCACCTAACAGTGCCAGTCAGTGCCATATATCAGTGCCATATATCAGTGTTGTCTTTCAGTGCCCATCAGTGATGCCTGTCAATGCCCATCAGTGCCACCTACCAGTGCAGCTTATCAGTGCCCATCACTGCAGCCTCATTAGCGCACATCAGTGAAGGAAAAAAAAAATCACTTATTTACAAAATTTTACAACAAAACGAAGAAAGAAAAAACATTTTTTCTAAATTTTCAGCGGTTTTTGGTTTGTTTAAGAAAAAATAAAAAACCCAGAGGTGATTAAATACCACCAAAATAAAGCTCTAGCTGTCACAAAAAAAATGATAAAAATTTAATATGGGTACAGTGTTGCATGACCATGCAATTGTCATTCAAAGTGTGTCAGTGCTGAGAGCTGGAAATTGGCCTGGGCAGGAAGGGGGTATAAGTGCCCTGTAGGCAAGCGGTTAAATACTCCTCCAGCCTTCCCAAAAAACTTTTCTCCCAGCACAGCAGACCCTCTTCCATTTAGGTGCAAACCATCTCTAGCATATAGACTGCACCCCAATGAAAAGTCGACCCAGTGCTCTAGAAACCCAAATCCTTCCCTCTTACACCAGGTCTTTAGCCATGCATTGAGTTCTCCAATCTCCGCCTGTCTTTCCTGAGTTGCGCATGGCACAGGTAATATTTCAGAGAATATCACCCTGGAGGTCCTTCCCTTCAACTTGCAGCCTAGTTGTTTAAAATTGATTCATAAGGAGCCTCCACCTTCCATGTATTCTGTCATTGGTTCCAACATGGACCAAGACAGCTGGGGTCATACCCAGCCCCTCCCAGTAATTTATCAACCCAGTTCACCACATACCGAACCCTGGCACCAGGGAGACAGCAAACCAGTCTGATTACAGAATCCCCTACTACCACCAGCTGTCTAGGCCTTCCTTGCACTACCCTCACCGCCCCTCCCAGATGTTAGGGATAGCAGTAACATCCAGGGCTGCCACCCCTGAGCTTGCTACCCCACATCTTCACCCAACTTGGCAAAATCTGTTAGGGTGCACAAACCCAGGGCTGGCCTTCCTTTTATGTGATCCCCTACCCTACTCCCTCTCATTACAGTAACCCATATTCCTACCTGATAATCCTGATTAGCCCCTCCGCCCTCCACATCAACCTGATTAGCTACCTGCTCAGAGAGGAGACCTCTTTCAAGGTTGTTGGTTCTGCCCAGTGTTGCAACTTGCTCCTCCAGATCTTTAACGCGAGTTTCCAGAAGGGCAACCGTTGCTCAGCGGTATCCATTCTGGAGCTGTTGCTCCATTGTTGCATACATGCGGCACACTGTGCACTTCACCAAACCTTCAACCCTGCTAGCACACATTATCCCAGATACAATATTAACAGAAAATATTAGTTGTGACTTACAGGTTAGTAGGCTCCTGTTATAATTTGTTTTCAATTCCAGTTTTTTAACTCCACTTATCAAATTTCCACTTGGTCAAAAGGTCCATCAAGCAAAATACAGGCAAGCTCAGAGTAAGCTCTACAGCAAGTTATATAGTACCTGTATCGCCTGTGAACAATTAACCCCTCCCCTTAATTAGCAGACTGAAGGAAGACAAGGAAAAAGGAAGAAAAAAAATGCTATTAAAAAAAAAGTGACAGAAAAAGTGATTTACAAAATTGATCAGGGATTTTTTTTTTTTTTTTTTTAACACTTTGAGATTGTGGTTGCAGTGATGATCATTGTAACTGCAATGTTTTTAACGATCATGAATGGGTTACATACTTTACAGATGTGATTATTGCATGCGGTGATTGGGCCCACAGCCATCACATGTTACCAAGCGCTGTGATTGTGTATAATTTATCACATGGTACATGGGCCAAACACTAATCAATGCAATAAATGTACAGGTGAAAAAACGATGAAAATAAAAATCAGTCTTTTCCAAAAAAGAAAAAAAAAAAAAAAAAAAAAAGCAATCTGTGCTCAAAAATAAAAAAAAAGTGCACAAGGGTGCAGGAAATGTTTCCAATTTCCAAAGAGGGGACACCCACTGATCCAAGAGCTAACTCCAGAGAAAACGGATTTTCACTTATTTTCACCTCTTGTTTTGACCATGCGGTTTACCTGCAGTTCCCGCACCTGTGATTACGCTGTGGCTGAGATGTGTGGCGGGTGCATTTTCTTATGTTAACAATGCTCAATAACAAAAAGTAAAAAAAAAAACACAGATACTTGCATATTTTGAAGTGAGACTTGCTGCACTTATATTAAAAAAAGTTGCATTTGATTCAGCGGCCACTGCTTTTGCCTGAAATAAAATTAAAAAAACCACATCAAGGAAATGTAAAGTTAATCAAGGAGAAAAACACAGTAGAAAGGATTTCTCACCAGCATAGTCTTTCCATTTCCAGGAGGGCCAAACAGCAATAACCCTCGAGCAGGAGCTCTGAGGCCAGTGAAAAGCTAGAAGCAAAATAGGACACAAATATTATTTAAAAATAAACTTTTACTTTTAACTAAACAATTGTTTATTACTGTTAGGTAATGTTTTAACAGCGAAACCCATCTTTTCACAAGAACATAACCCCATATGGAAAAAATGTAAGGCGTCCAATTTATATACATTTAATGGGCAATACATAGTATCTGTTGAATTAAAATGAGAACGTCCAATTTGATTGTACAGTGTATGTACAACATACCATAACATAAGTTGGTACCTGACCAGATCAAAGAAATACTGTAAGGTCACATTCTTTATTCATACACTTTAAGGTATAACGTGGCTAGTTTATAAATCCAATATAATTCCCTTTGGGGTATCAACCTAGCCAAGGCCTTCACTCTCAATGGACATTTGACTTGACACGTTTTGATTTGGCTGTCCTGTATAGTTGTCAATTGTTAGCATTGCACAGGTTGTTCTACATTATATGCTATATAAACCTGTTGGGTTGTGCAAAGATTGGACAACTGGAATGTATGGACTTTTGGAAGCTGGCCCCTGAAACTTCCCAAACAGAGTTCTTGCTAAGCTTTATTTGTACCATATAAACATGCATTTTCTTATTTTTTGCTGTGCTTAGACAAACTTGGTTTCACCCCGCCCCTGTGCATTCTTGCCCTATCAGAAACTGCTTGGGACATGGTCCAGCTATGCTGTGGTTGGCAACTCTTAGCAGCAGGGTGGGACCAGAAGTGATGTCACTGTTGGAAACAGGAACCCACACGTCACATACAGCTGGTTTAGGGAAAGTAGCTAGTAGCAGCCATTATGTACAAGGAACATGTGCTGGAATAGAAAATTAGGAAAGAGGTGCTTGACAAAAAGGGGTTCTTGCATCCCCAAAATGTTGGTTTTTCCTCCTCTCTATTTTCACCATGGTCTGAGTCTGCTATCCTTTGTATAACTCTATTCTGTGTACTGAACTCCCGAATATATTTCTGAACATCAGCTGCTATATTTTCTAAGTGTTGTGCACTGATATATAGATATATATAGATATATAGGATAGATATATATATATATATATATATATTTATTTTACACACACACATGCATTTTTGTTGGTGTGATTCAACAGTGGAGTCTATACCTATGCTGTATTATAATTAATAAGATATGACATACTTGGATACTTTTACCTATTGTATGTACAGTGCTCAGCATAAATAAGTATACCCCAACAGATCTGTTAGAAAACCTTTACGTTCCTTTCAGAATCAACATTTTCTATGGAACACTATACTGCAAAATACTCCCACAAATGCAGGCCAAATGAATACACCACAATGAAAGTCTTAGGAGCAAAGCTAAATTTTAGACAACAAAATCCTAATGAAGAATTCAACTACAGGGTGAATCTAATTATTCATTACGCAGGTATTCAGCAGACCGTTGATTATAAAAAGGGTGTTACTTAAAAAGAAAACCCCTTCCCATTTCATGCGGTCAGTAATGGCACCACATGGAAGAGAAATGTCATAAGGCCTGAGAAAGAAAATAACTTATTTACACAAGAAAGGTGAAGGCTACAATAAGATCAGTAAAGCTTTACTTATTGTCAGAATACTGTAGCAAAAGCGATACAAAAATTTAACAAAGATGGAACTGCAACTATCTCACAGAGACATCCAGGCTGTCCACAGAAGTGAAAACACCTCAACAGGAGTGTCTTCTGATAAGGGCTGAAGAAAATCGCCATGCAAGTTCACTGCAGTTAGCTAAAGAAGTAGAAAGCCAAACTTTGGGTGAAAGCCAAACGCTTTTCCCGTGACACAATACGGCGTAACACGTGCAGAGGAATGGTATGCATGGGTGTCATCCACGAAGGAAGCCTTTCCTAAAGCTCATTCACAAAAAGCCCACCTAGAATTTGCTAGGGCCATGCTGAAAAAGTAGACGACTACTGGGACTCAGTACTCTAGAGAGATGATGAGACCAAGATAAAGGTTTTTGGAACTGATGGCTTAAAAAAAAAAAAAAACAAAAAAAAAAAAAAAAAAAAAAAAAAAAAAAAAAAAAACTGTATGGCGTTGCAAAGGTGAGGAGTACAAAGAAAAATGCACGGTGCCTCCAGTGAAACATGGTGGCAGTGTCTTTCTGTGCGGCTGCATGAGAGCTGCAGGTGTCGGGGAGCTGCATTTCATTGATGGTATCATGATTTTACAGATGTACTGCTTGGTATTGAAAGAGAACAAGATGCTACATCACTCTGTGCCCTTGGTCGGCGTGCACTTTTCCAACATGACAATGATCCAAAACACATATCTAAGGCCACTGGTTGCATTTCTGAAGAAGAATAGGGTGAAAGTGACCAAGTATGTCTCCTGATGTGAACCCAAACACCTATGAGGAATTCTTAAGGGACAAGTTGAGCATCACTCTACATCCAGCATCCAGGCTCTAAAAGAGGTTGTTCTTGAAGAAAAAGATCGTTGTTGCACTATGTCGCCAACTTATTCATTACATGCCTAGAAGACTTGGTGCTGTCCTTACAAATCAATCATGGAGGTCATATAAAAAATACTAAATGTAGTAGTTTTTGTTGTGGGCTGTATTCATTTTTGCATCAACTAACTAGATTAAATATTCCGTTTTACTCAAAGTTATATTATTATTAAACTTACTTTCATGTAATGAGCTAAACAAATGTTCTATAAAAACTCAGTTTTGTCAAAATGTTGGAAATTGTTCTGGTGTTCATTGAGATATGTATTTAAAACCTTACTTTTCAAAAAGGGTGTACTCATTTATGCTGAGCACTGTATATGCCTAATACAACCTCATTGCGAAAGCATTTTTGCTATGTGGTGTAAGATCTGGAGTGAAACTGTACAAATGGAATGGGTTCAAAAAGGAGGCTACTACCAGGCCCATGACTCATAAAAAAGGCAGATGGCAAGTTACTCCCAGCCTGGAAAGCTCTAATCCTACACAGAAAAAATTTGTTTCTCATGTTGGACAAAAAAAAAAAAACTTGAGTATCTGTGTCTAGCCCTGTGCACAGGTCAAACAATGAGTCGGTTCCAGCGATGATTCCTGCTGCAACTTTGAACGGTGAAGGCAACTTTGACAGAAACCTGTGCCGACAGTTCCCTTGACAGAGGTTGTCCACGTATCCCACAATGAGGGTTCCATAAGAATACAGTAGGGATAAAGTAAAGCTAGCACTTTGAAAATGAAGAGGTCACTAAAGTTACAAAAATTCTTGTACGGCAGAATATTCTGAAGTAATGTAATGTGTTGTATTGCATTTTCTGATGAAAACTGAACTGAGTAAATCAAAAAAAATTGTAGGATTTGGAATCGCACAAGAAATATTTTTGTGCTTTTCCTTTCAAATAATTTTGAACAAAAGCGGTGGACTAATGCTCAGATTATTGTACAATCGTTTCAAAAGTGGTATTTTTTCATATGATTTTCTGATCATGTGTACTAGGCTTTAGGATAGCAGTTGCCTATATATAAAATTACCAATAATATAATATCTGCCCAAAGGAAATAGCAATAAATGGAAAAAACAGTACTGTTGCTGTAATATAATAACTCCTCCCAATGGTTCAAGCTTAGTATATATCCTTAGAGAGTAAAGAACCTAACAGCTACAAGGCCTCTGTTTACGTGTGCTCCAGTGACAGCATGCCCCCAGGGCACCAATGTTCAGCCACAGCACATGTACATGTGAGCGCTTTTCCAAAGAAAATTATATCAGAGACAGGAAAAAAAAAATAATTAACAGGGAAAGCTCCGTGCTTACATGACTTGCAAATTACAAAGTATTAGCAAGCATAGGTTACCACAGACAAACTCAGTGCCCTTATAAATCTACAGCCCCTGGTAACTGGAGAAGCTAGGCATATTAGTGACATCAATGAAAAAAGTACAAATGCTGCAAGTTTCCTTAACCACTTGCCCTCCAAAGGATCTACCCCCCCTTCCTGACCAGACCATTTTTTGCGTTACGGCACTGCGTTACTTTGTCGATTGTGACATAAATTTATGTCCCTCCCCCCCCCCACATATAGTGCTTTCATCTGGTGGTATTTGATTGCCTGTGTGTTTTTTACTTTTTACGCTATAAATAAAAAAAGACCGACAATTTTGAGAAAAAACAAACAAACTATATTTTTGACTTTTTGCTATTAAACATGTCCAGTAAAAAAAAAAAAGTTAAAAATTAAATTTCATCATAAATTTATGGCAAAATGTATTTTGCCATCTCTCTTTGCTAGAAAAAAAATCCCAATACATGTAAATTAATTGGTTTACTTGAAAGTTGTAGTGTCTACAAAAGGCGGTATATATACTGGAATTTTTTTTTCCACTAGTAATGGCGGCGATCAGCAACTTCTAGCGGGACTGCGGCAGGCATTCTGACACTGGGGGTGAATTGACTTGGTGTCACTGACATCAATACAGTGATCAGTGCTAATGAAAAAAAAAAACGCTGACACTGTACTAATGGCACTGGGCAGGGAGGGGTTAACATCTGGGGTGATCAAAGGGTTAACTGTGTGCATTTCACTATGGGGCTGTGTCTGTACTTTCCATTCTAAGCACACTGCTTTGTATGGCTCTGCTATGCAGAGCCATACAAAGCAGTGTGCTGGAGCTGACAAGGCAGAGAACTGTGTTTACACACAATTCACTCCCCCCATTGGCATTACTCGGCGATCACCAGTGATTGACAGCTGAGGCAGCGAATGGCGACATGGGTACATGGGTGTGTGCCCCCTACCCAGAAATGCAAAATCATGTATATATACACACGCGTGATTTTGCGCACCCCTGCCGCCCTGTAGCAGTATTTCTGCTATAGGGCGCCGCTAAAGCGGTTAAAAAAAACCCCCAAAAAAAACTACACAGTATAGGAAAGAATACATTTACTTTTATACAGTGCCCTGCTAATGACAGTATATTTCGCAAATACTGCCTCAGTTTATTTACAGCCACTCTCCAGAGAAAAGGTCAGGTGAAAACTACCTCATCTGTGGACCGATTTATCCATAAGGAATCCTCAGACATACTGGCTTGAAGTATGAAGTAAATAGAGAAGCCCTGGTATGAACTGTAATACAAAAGCAGCAGTCGCAGCCAACTGCAGGCCTAACACAGAGGGAGCAACAGTATAAACTGGAAACCTGTGCTGCTTAGTTAAAGTATAACTAAAGGCAAAACTGAGTTTTTAGTTTTGGATAGAGTGGAGAGGGATTAGAACACTTGTCAATTTTTATAGTTATCGGTGCCCCTATTCAGGAGACTCAACCACTCGATTTGTCCCATTTACCATTACCATTGAAAGTGAAAGTAAAAGAAAACCCCATGTTTCGGGTTGTTCCCAGAAAAGTAATAGAGCGGGAAATCTTCCAGTGAAGACACTAGTTCCGGTGACCTGGGGGGTCCCCAAGGAATTCCTTTCATTTGCAGGGATTTACGCTCACTTCCTGTTTGGCTATAAAGACAGGGAGTGAAGGAAAATCTCTGCAATGGGACACAGATGGCAAAAAAAAAAAAAAAAAAAAAAAAAAAAAACACACAACTGACATTACTATATGCAAAATGAAAAAAAAAAGTTTTGCCTATAGTTCTACTTTAACTGGAGAGCTCGCCAGGGTTTCCCATATCTGACCTGAATTCACCGGTTGCTTTAGAGGAAAGTAGAAACTTCCAAAACTTCAGGGCTGTTGCAAAGAGAACAGCAGTATAAAACTGGGGGAAAAACTACACTCTGACTGTAGAAATATCCAGGATTTACAGTGGGGAAAATAGTGATTTGATCACCTGGCGATTTTGTAAGTGTGCCCACATGTATAGGCCCGTCTGAAGTTTGCCAATAAACATCTAAATGATTCAGAGAAAGATCGGGAGAAAGTGCTGTGCCCAGGTGAGACCAAATTGAGCTCTTTGGCATTAGCACAACTCACTGTGTTTGGAGGAAGAAAAACTATTACCCTAAGTACACCATCCATACAGTCAAACACAGAGGTGGAAACATTATGCTTTGGGGCTGTTTCTCTACTAAAAAGGTACAGCCCAAACTTTGCCGCATTGATGGGCCAATGGACAGGGCCATGTATATTGTAAAATCTTGAAGGAGAACCTTCTTCCCTCCACCAGAACACTGAAGATGGGTCTTCCAGCATGACAATGACCCAAAACATACTGCCAAGGCAACAAATGAGTGGCTCAAAAAGAAGCACATTAAGGCAGGGCTCGACAAATTTGCTTTGAATCTAGGAGCCAGCTAGGGTTTGTTTTCAGTGACAGGGATGGCCAAATGGGGGGCCTCTAAGGATGTGCTAATATGAAGGGACTCTAATCTAATGTTGGGATGCTAATATAAAGGGACTCTGATCTAATAGGGGTCTTTAAGGGGGTGGGGGTGCTAATATAAAGGGACAATGATCTAATGGGGGGGGGTCTCTAAGGAGGGTGCTGATATAAGGTGACTCTGATATAATGGGAGGTGTCTAAGGGGGTGATGCTGATACAGGAGTCCTCTCACACAGTGTCCCCCCCTCCTTATAAATTCCTCTCACGCAGCATGTCTTAGGTGCACATTATTGTGTTTTATTAAATTGGGACTAGTGTTTATTCACACAGGGCTTACAAGGGACAGCAATACGTAAAATAACTTGACGCTCACAGTTCTGTCAAAGAAGGAACCTAGGTAAAAAAAAAAAGAGAGAAAAAAAAACTCACGGAACCAAAGTCTATGGGAAAGATCCTGTGCAGAAAAACTTCCAGTGGGGTGTACAGAAGGAAGCAGGACCAAAGGGCCAGTCTCACTTTAAAAAGAGTCCAGTAGGGACAGGATCCGTGCAGCATGTCCATAGCGGAGATCTGACAGGCATAGCAATCTGACCAGTAGAATCACACAGAACCGCTGTAGCTGTGTAAGTCAGTGTGCAATGAGCAGAGACAGGACCTGCCGAAATGCCACAAGGCTGCAACATCACCTTGGTGCCGGGATGCAATTTCTGGTCACTTTGGCGACCTGCTGCCCAGGATTTGTCGAGCCCTGCATTAAGGTCTTGGTGGTCACAAAACCTTAAGGATTTAGAGAAGATCTGTAAAGTGGACCAAAAGTCTTACCTCTGTGCTTGCCAACAAGGGTTTCTCCCACAAGTACTAAGTCATGTTATGCTGGGGATCAAATACTTATTTTACTCACTGAACTGCAACTCAATTACATTTGTATCATGTTTTTTTTTCTGGATTTTGGTTGATATTCTGCCTCTATCATTTAAAATACACCTACAATAAAAATTATAGACCCTTCATTTCTTTGTAAGTGGGTAAAAACTGTACTGGGTACAAATCTGCAGGGGAATAATTATTTTCGCCACTGTAATTTATCTGGCATGAATCTTTCAGTAAACTGGAGATTTTTTTTTTTCCTGAAAGATCTTTCTGCTATAAAAAAACAAACAGAAAAAAAAAAACAGAGCACTCAAAAAAACACATCCACTCTCCTTAGGACACTAGCAAAACAAATATATAATTGTTGTGGATAGAGTTACTCTGTGCTGACCAACAGCATTTTTTTTTTGTTCTTCTCCTGTAGTCAGGCAGTACAACCACACAGAATAAGAATTCCTGTGTCCCTCAATGGATGATAAAGAAAAATCAGTGGTCCTTATGTGAACACTTGTTCTGGGTCAATGGCACAAAGATACAAATGTATAGAGTCACCATAACAAATAGTCCAAGAGCTGTCACTCAAGTGATACTTGATAGTATTCTCCTTCCTTTCCCCAGCAAATAATACACAAGGTTATGCAGGGAGGGGAGGAGAAACTGGGCTAACAGTAAATAAGAATATGATGAGCAAAGAGGGAAGGGGTATATTATAGAGAAATGAATTTCTGCAGAGGTCAAAAAGGAGAACTTCCTCTTCCAATCTCCTAGGTGGTCAGAGCGGAAGTGGGCACTTGTAAAAATCAGTTACCCGCTCCCCCCGTTCCCCAAAGATGTCAATCCCTAACGGGGAATGGGGATCAAGTCCTTAAAGAGGAACTCCCCTTTTGGGTGACGCTTAAGTAAGCACTGAAAGTGAAACTGCAAGGAAAAATTAATTTCACTGATTACTGTTACCAACAATATTTTTATAATCCTCAGGCCCATAGTACTTTACTATTACACTGCAGGTACCTGTTCATCATATGACTTCTAGTGTTTGGCCAACAATGTTATTATGCACCAGCAGTGAAATGAATACATTAATGCTGTCGGCACCGAGAGCTTTCCCATCTCATTGAGCTTACATAATAAATTGGCATGCTGGATGCTCTCTCAAATGCACATGCGTAGGCTTTTTGTGAAACGTTTTAACTGTGCCCATTTTAAAACCGCTCGTTCCCTACTCCTTGCTTTCCTTATCAGAACTGTATGTTGACTATGAAAGTCTCTGCCCACCGCCTGCAGAGGAAGGGGTATTATAGGAAGGTCTGTGGTCATGTGACAGCTAAAGTTTAAAAAAAAAAAAAATTAAAATTTTTGAATTTTGATTTACTAGTAAATTCTGTTTCCTGGAGTACAGTATGGGACTCCGGTTTCTTAGCCTTATAACTGGGTTATACGCAGCCTAACATCAGGTGGTTGTACACTGTTCAAAATCTGCTGGGACATCCCCCATGTAATCCTTCTGACCTCCAGCAAGCCTCAGTTTTGTAGCAAGCAATAGCAAGGGCATAAGAACAACAAAAAGGTCCCGAGTCATCTACTGTACTCAAAGAAATGGATTTGAAAGCAGCAAAAATCAAATTAAAGGAGTACAAACTGGAGTGCCCTTTTATTTCAGCCATGTAAGATTTCAAGAAAATGCATGCTTAAAGTTATAGCAGGTACACAAATACAACCAATGCAGAGATGTAGCATTCTTATTATAGAGCACATACTTCTGGGCGAATAGAAGGGAGTATCACCATTTCTTGCAATGCTTGTTTTGCTAAATCTTGTCCAGCTACGTCCGCAAACTTGACAGATGGGCCACTGCGGAAAAAAGAAAAAGAAAAAAAATACACACAACACATACAAAAATGTTAGCAACGGCTTATTAAAAAAAAAAAAAAAAAAAACCCACACCACAGTCCAGACATATAAAGTATGCAAGGCAACACACATACCTGTCTACAATTTCATTCAAAATAAGATTTGCAAGGTTGCTATCTACGTTTTTTAAATTCTTCATATCTTTTTTCCTGAGTCCAGTAGTAGGTGTTGTTGGCTTATTTGGTCTAGTACTTTTTACTCCTGCACCCTTAAAAGAATTAAAGAAACCAAACCATACATTAAAGTAACGATTACAATAAATATGCGCACATACAGCAGGGAAAAAAAAAATGAAGTGCATATCAAAACTGGAAAATGTAAGAGTTTACCCTGCTAGCTGTTTGAGAGCCTGGTCTATGTGAGGAGGAGGAACTGGAACTGTTGGGTATCCTAGGTGAATGGGAAACTACTGGAGATACAGCTTTGGATGTGGCTTTTGCACGTGGAAGAGAATTACTTGCAACGGAGACTGCATCTTTCTTTTTTGGAACTGCACCCCTTTCTAAAATGAGAAAATGTAAGCAACAATGTTAAATAGTGGTAATACACAATTGTACACAACAAAATACATCAAACTTGAAGCCCATGTTTTATATATCTCTGTGTATTTGTGGTTCTGTTCATTTTTGTATTATTCACATTTTTATGATCTACGCGTTTCATTATTCCTGTACAACTGAATATTTATTGCTTGCTGTAATGCTGACTTGAATGTTCAGCATTGCTGCATGGCTGATTACGCTCTATTAAAAAGGAGAAGCACAGTCAAAGCTCATTTGGTTGTACTTCTCCTGTGGAGCACGGGTGTACAGTTCATTTTGTACTCCTGTGACCCATTTTCAGACATCGGACTTTAGCTGCCACGTCACTCAGCCGATCCATGCTGGCTAAAGATCCCGACTTTAAAGTCGGGATCCACCCAGATGTCTGGAGCGGTACCTTGTTCAGGCTCTCGGAGCCAGCTGCTCCCGCCCCCTCCACAGCCTCCAGATCTCTAGCAAGCACTGGAGAGGTGGGATCAGAGCAAAGAGCAGTGACTGACAGTCACCAGCTCTCTGACAGAGCACTGAGAACTGAGTGATCAGCAGTTTCTGGTCACTCAGTTCTCAGTCTTAGAGCTGGCGGGGGACAGATACAACATCAGACTGCTGTATCCACCTAGGCAAGTATGATTTCTGAAAAAAAACTTCTAACAATAGTACATTTTTAAATGCCTGCATTGCACAGTTTTTTGCCGTACAGACCTTTAACTGAAAACTTATTTTTGCCCAGATTACTTTAGCGCATTTATTTAAATTTAGTTGCTGCAGTCTAATTTAAAAACATATTTTGCTTAAAAAGAAGAAAAGTTTTCTTTTTCACAAAATCATACTTGCCTAGGTGGAGGCAGCATCAGTCTGATGTTGCATTTGTCCCCCCGCCGGCTCAAACACCGCTGAGCGCTCAGTGCTCCGTGTGCAGAAAGCTGGTGACAGTCAATTGCTGTCTGATCTGCACCCCCGTGTTGGGCTGTGGAGGGGACAGGAGCGGTTGGGTCAGGCCATCGGTGAAAAACGCTGAGAGGCTGAGCCAGGTGCTGGTCTAGACATCTGGGTGGTGAATCCTGACCTTAAAGTCAAGATCTTTACCCAGCCTGGGGCGACTGAGTGATGTCAGCTGACAGCTGAAAACATGTCACGGGAGTGAAGAACAAACTGCACTCCTGTGATCCACAGGAGAAGTACAGCCAAACGATCTTTGACTGTACTTTACCCCATTTTGCTTTTGTTTAAGTGAAACCTAAGGAAAACATTCACAATATCGAAGAAAAAAAACTTTTCACGCATTCATTGGCATCTCTAACTGCTGGCAGCATTTATCAGACAATACTGGGAAATGTGAATTACTGTTTAATAGGAATTTCTAGGTGATATGTGCCTGTGCAATAACACAGAAATGTTCTCCATGCCATGGCTTAGCAAGACCCACATGTGAAAATCCACCTACTTGTGAAATACAATGGTTCACCTAAAAATAAATAAAAATAGCAATTGGCCCAATTTGTATACGAATTACCTCATCATTAGCTACAATCAATGCTACAAGTAGTAAATGGCTGAACAGTGTTTCAAAAAGGAAGATGGAAAAGTAGAGAGATAGAAATCATAAATCAGATAAAGACTATTAGTTTAATATATGATTTAAAAAATAAAATGGCAGAATAAAACCATCTTTAGTGAAACAACAATTTCAGCGCAGAAATATACTAGCTATAAAATATATTTAGAAAAGTGATGGAATACAAATATATGTCTTATGCAAACAATGGTACTCTGCTTCAATAAGCTGTCTACCGTTAGTTTCTCCCAACTGCAGCCTTTGCTTGCTTTTATAAGGCCCTTAAGGCATTACTCCAGCCACTGACACAAACAATGAGATATATTTCCTGTCACCGACACCAATATTGGGACACTTTTCCTTCCAGTGCCACCAACGATGAGGCATTATTCTTTCCACTGACAACAAAAATGGGACATTATTCTCCATTGACACCATTTGTTTACTCCCACTGGGCACAGTCCGGCTCACTAAAGTCTGAAGAACAGTAAACTTTCTTTCTTTTTAGAAAGTTTGGAGACCCCTGCCCTAGGTGAATAGATGCCCAAAAGGAAACTTTGGGCAAAAAAACTGGCACAGAAAAGAAGAACAGCTAGTCTATATGTGAAGTGTGCGTCAAACAAAATTAAGTATAAACCATATAATTAAAACGTGCAAAGAAGATTAGGCACAGAACTTATGTAATTCACAACCCAAAAATAAAAATTATAACCTATTATACATAAATTGTGTAAAATAGTTCTCCAAAAAATGCCAAAACTTCCAAAGAATAAAAAATTCCAGTAGAATGGTGCAATAATTTGAGTCAAAACTGAATGTGTTTTCCAGATTCATGTAGTAATCCAGTGTGAAACTTTGCCTCTGTATAGAAGCATGCTGTAATAAAGACTGATCACTGCTGCTCTCTCACCTTGTGCATGGTGACTGGTCTTGTCTCTACCCCCTCCAGTACCTTTCTGCAGGCAAGCTATAATGGCACCCCCCACACTTTGGTTGCAAACCCTGCCCCCCAAGCAACCCCTGCCTCACAGACATTGCCACCCAACCATCAGGAGATGTGATCTATAGATTTTGGGTTAGCTGGCTGCAGTCATCAAGGCAATCGCACGGAGGAGAGACAGATTGATCTGCTCCCACTCCTATACCTCCTGTGTCCATCCGCTAACAGTCCTATCACTGGAGTGCAGCCAGTGTTTGAATGAGAAAGGGGATGTGTGGGCGGGAAATTTGTAGTACAGCAGCTACATCATGGCTGCATGGTTTCTGCTGCTGCCTGAGCCTCCAGTTACCAGCCTAAGGTGAGCGAGCAGCAACTAAAACTCTCCCCCCAACTTCTCTCCCCTATCTGTCTCCCTCCCCGTTTCTCTTCTTCCAGGAGCTTCACTAACTTGGCCAGTTGATTTCATGTACAATTAACACTTAGGGACAACTGAAGTACTATTGGGGGATGGCTGACAATGTGTTAGTTGGGCAACCTGAAGGGGTTATTCCTAAAAAGTTTGTGATGCTTCAGTTTTAAATGCTTCCTGCCCAGCCCCAGCATCCCTTTAGGAGCTGGTTCACATGTGCTTTGGTCTCTGATGGGCAATTTGCGTTCAGATCATTCTTCAGAGAGCAAGTGACAGGCAGTGAAGAGGTGCTTTATCACCTCCTCACCACCTACTTTAACCCCTAGAACCCTAAACACACCGTAACTGCATGCATTGCAAGCAGTTGTGGTGTGCTTGCAGAGCACCCCTATTCACTTGGATAGGTTGCGTTCAGCAGGCACTGTGCCCACAGAAAGCAACAGAGGATATAATTTCTGCCACAGCCACGTGTTGCATGTGTACACCCCCAGCCCTGTGTTGCCAACTGTCTGTTTTTTAAAAACTGTCTGTAAATTTTCAGGCACATTTCTCCTGTCCGTAAACCTGACATTCATATGGATGTTACTTAACATGTGCCACCTACCTAAACGTTGTTGCTGACCAAGTACACCGCTTCGTGCAATGGTCTGAGGAACACATTGACAAGCTCAAGGTGTTGACTTGGCCTCCAAATTCTCCAGATCTCAATCCATCAAGCCAGGGATTCCTGGCCATGTAAGTCAATGGGGCCAGTGACTTCAATGGTTATTAAAGACATTGTCAGTGCCTGTGGTGCAGAATCCTTAATCAGTGACATCACCGTCACCAGCCTTACTTACATGATTGGGAATCCCTGGGCATGGGGCCAGCGACTTCAATGGTAGTTTCTCTTAACTACTGAAGTCACTGATGTCCTTAAGCAAAAAGGTGCAGGATCTCAGTGATGTCACTTACCATATATGGTCAATGACATCACCAGAAGACCCCCACCACCTTGTATACAACAGTTGTCACCAGCCAAACTTTCCATTCGACAGGTGACAAGCGAAGGAAAAAGGAATGTTTTTTTTTTTTTCTGTTGACAGGTCAATGGTCGCCAGGCTTGAATCTGCTGACTTGGATCTGCATCACTGCATGATGTGACTAACAATAAATTTACAACAAGCAACATTTTTTGGGAATTTTTATTTTTTATTAAAGGGCTTGTCAAACATCTGGGTGTCTATTTCTAGGGTTACAACTTTTTTGTTAATGAGCAAGGGTACTATTGTATTGTGAAAAGGGGCTTCTGATACGATTCCAATAAACCCCCTGCTCTGCAGACCCCCACAACCACCAAGCCAGGGTTGCAAAGAGGCCCTTGTTCCCATCAACAAGGGGACAAGATACTTTGCTAGGGGGGGGTACCCCTGCCCCATGTTTACGGTGGCATGTGGCCTGGTATGAGGAGGGGAGGTTGTAACTTACGCTTGGGGACCTCAGGCCATTATTTTAAATTTTGGTTTTTGGCACTGGGTCCCCACCACGCTGTTTTTTTTTTTTTTCTTTTAAAGAGTGTTCGGCCTCTTTAGTTTACATTTGCCTGTCTTCCAGCAATCTCCAGCTAAAAGCTGAAGGATCACTGGTTGTTAGGATCACTGGTTGTTAGGATCACTGGTTGTTAGGATCACTGGTTGTTAGGATCACTGGTTGTTAGGATCACTGGTTGTTAGGATCCTGATCACCAGCTTCCCTGAGTTGGAACTTTCACATTTGTCAGTGGTAGGAATAGTGCTGATAAATGTTTCAACTTTTAATTCATACATTTGTTAAATAGTGAGCAGCTAGACCACAAGACAATTAATGAATATATAGATTTTTGTTTTTGAGTGCATTGACTTTAAAGTGGAAAAGAAAATTAAGTTCTGTTAGATCACTACAGACTGGCCCCTTCTGCAGGTATAACAAACACATGAAAGTATACCTAAAGACAAAACCTGTTTTTACTTTTGGATAGAGTGGAGATGGATTAGAACACCTGTCAGTTTTTTTTCTTTGCTGCCTGTGTCCCCGCTAAGGAGATTCACCCTCTCAACTTGTCCTGTTTACCATCATTGAAAGGGAAAGTAAAGGAAAACCCCAAATTTTCAATTCCAGAAAAGTAACAGAGGGAAATCTTCTAATGGGGACACTAGTTCTGGTGACCTGGGGGCCCCCAAGGAATTCCCTTAAGCTATAGGGATTTCCTTTCAGTTCCTGTTTGGTAATGGGACAGGAAGTGAAGGGAAATCTCCGCAATGTGACACAGATGGTGAAAAAAGAAAAAAAAAAAAAAAAAAAAAAATCTGACAGGGGTTATAACCCTTCCTTGCTCTACACAAAATGGAAGGAAAAAAAAAAAAAAAAAAAAAAAATGCCTCTCTCTTCTGGTGCTCCTGAGGCCCAGTATAACCTGTTTGGATGTACAGACTGGATTTGTATTACAGCTTTCCATTTCCTCTTGGAGAAATTTACCGAAGTTACTGTAATTTTGATATTTGCACTAAACATTTGTAACGCTTCTAAAATGTTACACTAACAAAAATGTATTTGATAAAAATAAGCACTTATACTGCTTAAAAATTCGGTAATAAGCGGTCTTACCCTGCTCTGCACATGTTTAGTTGCTCTCTAATTTTTGGCACTGTGCCAAAAATGTAGCGGCCCATCTGCTGACAGCCTAAAGATTTACTACTGCTCAGCGGTTGTGGGATTCAGCAAAATGATAGCCTTCAGCAAGAAGAAACAGGAGCAGTTTTCAAGACATGTAGACATACTATATGCACATGTATTTTTGCTTGATCTCTCTTCTTTTTCTCTCAAAAGAGAAAGATACATATACAGAATGTTACTAACCCCTTGTACAATGTTTTTGTTACTATTACGACTGATTTATTCTCATTTAATTTGCAAAACGTGCCCAACAGTGAATGTCCTACATAGCAGAAGATTACTTTCAGACTTTGCAACTCACCATTTGTATTCTATTATGTGAGACAGAACGTGTGTCTTCTCAAGCTCCCTACCCCCAGTCACTTCATTGTTGAGATCACAATTGGGAGAAGATAGCTGAGCGGAGAAGAGTGAAAAGCTTGTTCATGTGCTTGACCAGTGCCTCCCCATACAGGAACACAGAGAATGCAATGATTCGTGGGACTTGCAGTTTCCTATTAGCTCAGCAAACTACAGTCTCACATGATATTGCCAGAAGGAAGCAGGAAGAAAGCTTTGAATGCATTTTCTTACATAAACTAAGAATATGAGGGATACCAGAATACAGACGTAAGCAAATTTTACCAAAAAATGATTATGTGCATTAGGACTGTAAATATGTTAATCATGATATTTGAAGGAATTAAGATTTTTAGTGCTGAAGCTGAACTTACTACTTTAACATTTTACACTTTCTGACACTACCCATCGAATCAAATTGTGCTAGAGCAATTATGGATTGTGATAGGTAATCCATAATGTACAATTAATAGCCAAGCATACAATTATTCTAAGTGTAAGTAAATCCGAAACGTCTCCTACAAGAAGGTTTTCTTAAGTCACCACTTCTAGCAAAAGGAAAAAAAGGACACAGAGGCAATAGAGGGTTTATTACCCTATAGATGTAAAACAATTACTCTCAAATTTTTCACGAGTAGTGTTCGCAACTGATTCAGAAGGCTTATTTTGCAAAAAAGTTATTTTAACAAAGTGGACACAATCTTAAACAAAGGTCCAGAAGGTTATTGGGAAGCCATAAGCTTCTTAATGTTGGAGTAGGGATATTCAGAAGTAAACACACCAAATATAAATATCTGTATACACTCAAAAAACAAACAGGCTTACTTTCATGTCAAACTGTTGATTAAAGTCGACCTATGTCGATGTAGAAAAAAAAAAAACAAGCTATTGGATGTTCAAGATACCTTACAGATATTGGACAATCTTTTCCAGATCCTGTTATATGACCCTACATTCTAATGCCTAATGGGCAACTGCAGACCCTGCAGGCCACCCAACTGGTTTTAGCTGAATTATTTCCACTGGTCTTTAGGGTGGCCATTCCCGTTTTAGGAGAATGCTCAGATGAACAAGCCAAAAGAAACACAAGAAAGGTTACATTTTTGTCCACCTTTACATGCAGGTCAAGCTGTCCACCAAATGTGACAGTTACAGGGGCAGAGACAAACGGGTATAGTAATGGATTCTTAGAAAGGTGAATCTTTTTTTCATATGGTTTTAATATTTGCTCTTCAGTGAAAAAAATGATGCTGCAATAAATGCTTATGTGTTGCTTTTGTTAAATTCCACCTAAAATTTCTACACTCTCCACAGTTTGGCAACACTGCAGTGATTTCATTGTAGAACAGAGAACATCATCAGTCTGTTGCAGGAAGTAGAAAGTCAACATATCTACTGGCAGGATCAACAGGTCATTGAAATATGTTCTAGTAGGACTCAGAAAATCAAAAACAAAAAGTGATGTGTTAATGCTACTGACAGACTGCAGCATATGTGTCAGTGTCGCTTTTGACAATAATACTACTTTAACGCTATATATGAAAATTAATACCATACTCAGATTTGGAAGTGGTTTTCTAAAAAATACAAGTGCAAGCAAAACAATACATCAGTGAAACTAAACCCACCTGGCTTCAGAAGTCCATTGCGTAAAGGCAGGTTAGTATGGTCATTACACACTTCCATTTGCTTGTTCTGACCTTGTATATCTGCTTGCAGCTTTGCTACGCAAACAGAGGAAATGGAGGAAATAAAATGAACAAAAATAAAATGATGGAAAAACAAAAAAAAAAAAAAAAGACAGACAATAAACTGCTACACAGATTTCACCTTGAGAACATGTTAGCTTAAAATGAAAAACTCCAGTTTTGTAAAAGAAAAAAAAAAATAATCTGAAAATTGCCACACAAGCTACCTTAATGTATTAAATATCCCTTTCTATAAACAATAATACTTAGTTTACGGATGGGAGAAACCGCAATTATCATGCATTTGCTCTTGCAAATATCTCACTGCTTTTCCCACAGGTCTACACAGGGTTTCAAGTCAAATTACAGCAGTTCCTGCAACTTCCATTAAGGTACAGTATTATCTATCAGCATGTTTAGGGAATTTAAAGGAGGAATCCAGGAGACACAATTAGAAAGGACAGTAGGAGGTCCAGCTCATTACTTAAACCCAAGAATGATCCTCCTACCTCTGGTGTGAGGATACCCAATATGTATTGCATAATAAGAGCTTACATATGTACATCCAGCCTAGTATGGTGTACATATGTGCATGTTGGGAGCTTCTAAGGTTGCGAAACATGGATCAAATTTGGTCGGTTCAGCAGGGACCAGTTGAATTTCAAACCATGCATCTACCAATAGACTTGTGTACAACCACCCTGTCGAATTTTCCCCACTCGATCAATGCAGCAGGCTATAGCCTGCAATGCTGATCAGTGTATTCTGATGGCAAAAAAGTCTCCCCGCTGTCAGAATACAAGAACTTAGTGGAAGGATTACCCCGTCGACCTCGAATGTGTGGAAGGGAGAAGGTCAGTTTTTCATTCAACCCTAGTTGTACGAAAAAAAAAGGTGACTAAATGTATGGGCTTCCTTAAAGTGTTACTAACCCACAACAGTAAAATCAGTCTGTATATGCAGTAAAGCATGCTTGTTATACTCGCTGTGGAACCTAAGGGGTTAATCCTCTGCATGGTGTAAAAAGGATGTTTGATCCTGTCTTCTCTGATCCTCCCCTTCTACTGTCCCCAATCCATCTGCTAATAGAACAGAGTCTTTGGAGCAAGTCTGCACATGCTCAGTTAGGTGTGTATTGCTAGATTTTTTTTTTTCTTTGGGAGGGTGCATGTGATCGGCCCATAACCAATCAGTGCTGTTCAAAAAGAGGATCGGGGTCCTGCAGTCTCATAGGACAATCAGGGGAGAATGAAAGCTACAAGGTTTAACCAGTGCTCTGCTAGACACTGATAAAAGACACAAGACAGCTTCATACTACTGATGAGAAAAGGTATTTAGCAGTTTATATTTACTCAAATAATTAAATTTTCATATTCTGTGTACTGTGGGAGATCAGATATAGTGAATGCAGGGTCCTGGGTTTAGTGACACTTTAAGATGGCTCCACAGTAATGTGTGAAAACCCACTAATCCTCGTGTTACCCACATCTGCACTGGAATTCTGAAGTTTAAAACCAGGATGCATTTACAGTTGAGCACTTCCAAAATTCTGTATAGGGGAAAGCTGTGAACAATTTCACATATTGCCCACTGTTTTCCACCCTGCATCACCCTGACATTATCTACAGGTTCACAGCTTTACAGCTCCAGCATCTCTCAAAAAAAGACCACCACAGAAGTACAAGCAATTATGACATTATGCTTACTTAAAAGCCCAACTTTAGGTATTTTTTTTTTTTTTTAAATTAGCACATTCATACATTTCATGAGAAAAAATCCAGAGTGCCGATTATGCCCATCCATCTCCATTTATAGAAGTTGTACTATAGCTTCCATTAATGTAATGCAACCAGTGAATGGAGGTGGCAGACGATTCATACCCTCTCCCATCATCCTATGAATGGAGGAGGGGGTGGAAAGGGTGGGGCATAGCCAGCATTCTTGATGACTGCACATGACAGGTCCAGTGCACATACTAACTCCCCCAGAACAGGAAGATTAAGGCTGCTGTGGTATGGGGAGGCAGGGGACGACAGATTCCAACTAGGACAGTCAACATAAGGGACAATTCTCATTAAATGTATGTACAGTCCCTTGTGGTGTAGGGGGAAAAAAAAAAATACCTTAAAAACGTAGGCTAAAAAAAAAAAAAAAAAAAAAAAAAAAAGAAGGAGAAGAATGGCAAAAGCCCTTTTACGTGGGTCAAAGGTGCACTTATTTCTGCACACTTGTGACCCAAATTTAGCTGAAAGCTGGCTTTAGTCTGCCGTCAAGCTGATGTCACAGTGCCAGTCCAGGCTCTGCAGGGATCTGGACTTTAAAGTCTGATCTGGCCAGATACCTGAGCAGCAACTGGCTTGGCCTCTTCACGCACCACTGAGAGTCTGAGCTGGCTGTTCCCACCCCTGCACGGCACAGGGCTCCAGTGAGCACTGGAGGGGTACAGCAGAGAGCCGGTGACTGACCGCCACCACCCTCTGCGATCAGAGGTCTTTGATCATTCAGTTCTCAGTGTAGAGCTGGCAGGGGACAGCTGCAGCATCAATGCTGCGTCCATATAGAGGAGTACATGTGCTTTTTTTTAAATTCTGCATTTCTCTTTAAAGGTGTACTTTTAAATTATATTTCCTGGAGCTTCCTTTTAGGGCTTATTGATAAATCCATACATTAAGCATATGAGCTTAGTAGGAAGACAATCTTAGCACGCATTACTAGTGTTTAAACAAACGCAACAGGAAAGTATAAGACACTAGAATCTGTAATAAGGTTACGAAACATCCTTGCAATGCATTTTGAGAGGTTTTTGCATTTTCAACTCAACAAAACTGGAGTTTCACGTTATAAAAACAGCAGTAAAACTATACTTTTCCTTTCCGGAGGTGGACAAGAATAGAAGTTTCTATTAATTCTATTTTTTATTTCTATATCAAAATGAAAATATGCAGATAAGGCAAACTGTAGATTTTAGCTGTCAAAAATAAAGCTGGCTATACACTAGTACATTTTCAAAATTAATGTTTGTGCAAATATTCATACGTAAATTCTGTACATTCAATGACAAATGTCAATTAAAAGTACTTGCTTTTAACATTCACAACTGACAGAAATTTGTTCAAGAACATTTTTTCATATTGTGCCTTAAAAATTTTCTTGTCACTGTGGTCAAAAACTAATATTGATTTCACCCCAGTAATGATTGGAAAGTGGAATGAACTTTTTTAAAATTAAAAACTTTGAACGAAATTCTACTAGAGTATAGCCAACTTTAGGGTTGACTTGACGTCCATTGATTCACATTACAACAGCAGATTTACTTGTGTTTCAACAAGAATCAGACAGACATGATAGTCAATGCAGAGACCACGTTTAAGTATTATGAAGGGCACAATACCATGTAATAAAGGGCAAATAGAGGCAAAAACAAATTATGTGTTTATTTTATGCCTGAGTGCACTAAGTAGCTTGTTCTAGTTTTTCCCAGAACTTACACAATGATGGACATTTTTTGGGGGAACTAGAAGGGGTCTTAAGACTATGTCTACTGAATGAGGACATGCAGTCATCACACATCTACCATCCCATCAAAGACTTCCAAATATCTGTTTTTTTTATTTACAAACTAACCCACTGTAGAAGTCAATATTTCTCTAAATAGTAGGCAGACTGCCCTATGCCAAGTACTAACAGCATAAAGGGAAACCATACTTTATTTTAAGTGAGGTTTATCCTGTTATTTTATGAATTGTAAACATTTATAGATTAGCTATTGTAACTACTTCAGAAAGCCACATACATCCCTCATTCAGCCCCATGGAGTGATCAAAAGAAATTAATAGACTCCCACAGCATTGCATTTACACAGGCAAAGCACCTGCGGCTGTCCAAATACGTCTACCTGACCTTGGCTTAGTGTCAAGAGATCCCTGAATTTTCCACTTCTTAATAAGTGATTGAACAGTACTGACTGGCATATTCACCCATTTGGGTGATTTCTGTTATGATTTAAAAAGAAGCCAAACAACTATGAGAATAAATTGGTTCATATGATCACTATCCTTAAAGTGGTTGCAAAGTCACATCTAATAAATCCTTTGAACCTATCTATTTTTGGTTCATGTTAAGTTCAGTGTGTGTGTGTGTGTGTGTTTTTTGTTTTTTTTTTTTAAAAATGACATGTCTAAAGTACCTTTTTACACAGTACTGTTGTGCAATCACGAGGTCTCCCTCCCAATCTAAGCAAGTACCGTGGGAGGAGCTTAGATTCCCTTTAACAAAGAGGAGGGGAGGAACAGCTACAAGAGAATAGGAACTCAATGAAGGCAAGAGGGGTGGGGTGGGCAGGAGATCGGCTTCACACCACAGACTACAGAAATGACAGGGAGGAAGAAAGAGGGAGATGTAATCATGCTGAAGACACAGCAGGATGACAGAGGAACGTAAAACTTATGACACTATCATGGATTTGCAGCTATGATTAGTGTGGTCAGTTTGCAGAGGGAAACACAAGAACAGGCAGGATCAACCAGGTATTGTACAACATGGAAAGAGACAAATTACACTGCAAAAGAACTATGCTATATAGTCAGGTCCATAAATATTGGGACATCGGCACAATTCTAACATTTTTGGCTCTATACACCACCACAATGGATTTGAAATGAAACAAACAAGATGTGCTTTAACTGCAGACTGTCAGCTTTTTGAGGGTATTTGCATCCAAATCAGGTGAACGGTGTAGGAATTACAACAGTTTGCATATGTGCCTCCCACTTGTTAAGGGACCAAAAGTAATGGGACAATTGGCTTCTCAGCTGTTCCATGGCCAGGTGTGTGTTATGCCCTCATTATCCCAATTACAATGAGCAGATAAAAGGTCCAGAGTTCATTTCAAGTGTGCCATTTGCATTTGGAATCTGTTGCTGTCAACTCTCAAGATGAGATCCAAAGAGCTGTCACTATCAGTGAAGCAAGCCATCATTAGGCTGAAAAAAACAAAACAACCCAATCAGAGAGATAGCAAAAACATTAGGCGTGGC